CCGTCCCATTCTCCTGCTCCATTCCTCTTTACAGGGCACGGGGATCGTCAACACCCTCCTGTTCGACCTACCATGGGAAAACGCCCACCCGACTTTCCGAGCAATCGGCTCAGCCTTCCTCATCTTCGACATGGTCCTCTTCCTCGCCTTCAGCATCCTCACCGTTACGCGGTATACGCTTTATCCGAAGATCTTCATGGCGATGCTGCAGCATGAGACGCATTCGCTGTTCCTGGGCTGTATACGTACGTTTGCCCGCACCTCGGCTCACCTTGAGACGAGCGACTCAAACTTATCGAGCCCGCTCTTCGCAGCGATGGGATTCGTCACCATCATCTCTGGCATTGCAGCAACAGGCCATGAGTACGGCCTGCCAACCCTCGACGCTGCGCTCGTGTTGTACTGGTCCTCGGTTGGTGAGTTTCAAGACTTCCGTTCCTCCCGTCCCATCTTCTGCTCGAATGCAGAGGAGCTTACTGACTGCTGCGCACGCAGGCATGTCAATGCTCACGGCTTTCGGTATCCCCTTCGTCATGTTCACCCAGCACAAGCACACTTCGGAGACGCTGACGGCGGCATGGCTTCTTCCCATCGGTGCGCCACTCGACTATTCTCATCACGAGACACTGAAGCTGATTTGCATTGCCCGCAATTGGCTCGAATGACTATTCGCAGTCCCGCTCATCACCGAAGCCGCAGTCGGCTCAACCCTCTGCAAGCTCCTCCTCCTCCAAAACCGGCACACCTACTGCCTCACCCTCCTGATCGCCTCCTACCTCTGCGCTGGAATCGGCATGCTCCTCGCCGCAGCAGTCATCGTCCTTTACCTCCAGCGACTGTTGTTGCACCATCTTCCGCCGAGGGAGGTGATTGTTTCGTCGTGGTTGCCGGTTGGACCTATCGGACAGGGAGGGTTCGCGTTGATTGAGCTGGTGAGTTGCGCGAAGCGTCCTGTGTCCCTGCTCAGCCAGAACAGCGACTGATGCTGATCTGTGTCGCATCGCCTCTACAGGGCCAAGTAGCGACGAAACTCTTCCCTCTCATCGCATCCCCTTCACGCCCAGCACTAGACTTCCTCGGACCCGCCATGCTTGGCTCAGCAGTCCTAACCGGCCTCCTACTCTGGGGGTGCGCCCCTTGACCTCTTCCTGCCTCACCGTTCGACTGACAGGCGGCGTGCGGTGCAGACTCGGCATTTGGTTCGCGTTCCTTGCGATTGTTAGTATCGCGGCGCAGTTCAGGCGCAGCGGGACGGAGGGAGCGGGAACGGCGGTGTTCAATATGGGGTGCGTCTCATCCTCCGTATCTTCTCTGTCAACTTGATTGCTCACGCGTCTCTCCAACTGTTAGATGGTGGGCGTTCACCTGTAAGCACAAGCGCCTACGCTGCGCCCCGCTCAGCTTTTGACTGACGAAACTCCGTCTGGACAGTCCCCCTCGGCTCGCTCACCCTCCTCACCTTCTCGCTCGCGACGGTCTTCGACTCGATGTTCTTCAAGTCAGTCTATGTGTTTCACCACTTGTAGCTCCTCGACGAAGTACTGACGACCACACCCGTACGCAGAGTCTGCTCGACGATCATGACCTTCTCGGTCTTCTCGCTATGGTGCATCGTCTTCGTCCCGACCTGTATCGGGTTCTTCCGGTGCGTTCGAACCCTCCTGACCTCGGGACGCCCGCGCTGACCCGCCCGCGACCCTCGGGATGCGCAGGGGAACCCTCTTCGCCGCGCCATGCCTCCAGGCGCTTCCGAAGGAGTACGTCGACAGGCTCGCTCCGGCAGAGGGCGGTCCGAAGCTGCGCAAGGAGGAACAGCAAGCCCAGGCGAGTGCATAGTAAGTAAGGCTGATTAGAATTCAGTTTGTATTGCTGTATTTTCGGGATGTTGCTGCCGTGCCGAGGGTCCGGCCGGAGTGAGGAGTCCCGCTTTCTCCCTTTGCGCTCGCTCAGCACGTCCTGCTTCGCCCGAGGAACTCGCTGAGCTGTTCAGAGTGTGTGCCCTTGATGCTGCGACAGCGATGACCACCGCACCGCGAAACGACGACCTCTCGTCGACCATCCTCGCCGACGCTCCGGCACCAGATCGCGCGACCAGGACAGACGACCTCGAGGCCGCAAAGGACGCCAGCGCTGCGAGGGACACCGAAGCGAAGGACGGAGGGGCTGGAGATGCACAGGCGGAGTGGCTCGCGTCGCCCGAGCATCCCTGGAATTGGCCGCTTTCGACAAAGTGGACCAACACGACGGTCATCGCCATCACCGGGTTCCTGGTGCGTTCGAGGTCTCTTTACGAGCTCAATAGCGGATGTATTGAACGTCGTTGCTCCCGCCAGAGCACGCTCGACTCGTCGATTTTCGTGCCGGCCATGCCCATTCTCGAAGACCGCTACCACTCTTCTCGCGAAGTCATCACCTTGACGACGTCGCTGTACGTCGCCGGTCTAGGATGCGGTCCCTTCGTCATGGCGCCCATTGCCGAGCTGTACGGGCGACAGAGGGCGTACTCCATTTCCATGATCGGTGCGTTCTCTCCTCCTCGTCCTGTTCCATTGCGAGCTGATCAGGCGTACTTCATGCAGGATTTACGATCATGAACCTTGTCTGCTGCTTCGTCGATTCGTGCGTCCAGCGGTCGACAGGCAGTCTCTTTCTCTACTGACCTCGTCCTCTCAGATTGCCAGGCTTGATCGTCCTGCGGTTGTGCGTCCTTTGCCCGCTGAGAAAGAGCCGAAACGTAGCACGACACTAACCCCAGCATACAGCTTGTCAGGCTTTTTTGGAAGCAGCGGGCCAGGACTAGGAGTCGCAACCATCTCGGACCGTTAGTCCGCCCTCGTCAGCGACCGGAAATCTCCAGCTAACGTTGAGTTGCACAGTCTTCCGCCCGCAAGAACGAGGACGACCTATCGCAATCTATGCGATTGTGCGTCCTTTCTGCTCGACCTTCTCACGCTTCGAGCGATGCTGACAGTCCATTGCGCAGGGCCCGATGCTCGGTGCGCACCTGAACCCCCAGCTTTAGGAGTATGCGAGTACAGGCTCACCCTTCTACTCGCAGGTCCCGTCCTCGGCTCAATCCTCGGCAACTGGCTGGTCCTGCTCGACTTCCGCTGGCCCTTCCGGCTAATGACCATCCTCATCGGCCTCAACACACTCGCCGTACTTTTCCTCATGCGCGAGACGTATGCGCCTGTACTTGAACGCGCGTTTTTGGCGAGACGCAGCGGGAGGGGGAAGGCGGATAAGCCGAGTAGGAGCCTGGCGAAGGCTGTTATCATTCGGACGTTCTCGGTGCGTCTCAAGCGCCAAATTTTCGCCGCAGTGGAGCTGACTGGACTTCGCGCCCGCAGCGGCCGCCGAGGATGCTCTTTAATCCAGTCTGCGCCCTGTTTGCGACCTGTACGTCTAGCCACGTTGATCTCCCGCTCACTACTAACTTGCTCGCGCACGAACAGACTACGCGTACACCTACGGCATCATCTACGTCTTCATCGTCTCGCTGTAAGCTCACAACCTCATCTTGCCTTCGCAACTTCGCTGACTTCGCATCTACAGTCCGCTTCTCTTCGCCAAGCACGACCCGCCAACGGGAATCTTCACGTACGGCTGGCCCGCAGGCACCGCAGGACTTTGCTATATCGGATTAGGTGCGTCCTCTCCGCCTGCGTCCTTCGCAACTTGGATTGACGGTCTCTCGCGCGCAGGAATTGGATTTGTCTCGTCCGCCGCGACTGCCGCCCTTTTTCAAGACCGCATCTATCAGTATCTTTCGCGGAAGTACAAGAACCAAGGCGTGCCGGAGTATCGCCTCGTCATCACGCAGGTGCGTCTTTTCCCTCCGCCCTTTCTCGTCCCAACAATCCCGCGCGCTTTTGCGAGATAGCAGACGATTCTGACTATGCATGCGGTCGCACAGATTGGCATGATCATCTTCCCCATCGGCCTCCTCATCTTCGGCTGGACGGCGCAAGCGCAGACGCACTGGATGGGCCCAATGATCGGCAGCATCATCTTCTCGTACGGGTTGATGTTGACGTTTAATAGCATTCAGGTGAGCCCTTTCCTTCCTTCTTCATCGCTCCGACTCGCGCCTTCCTTCCGCACAAGCTTCCGCATTCCTCTCATCCCGCCTTTCTACCAGCCGACCTTCGAGCGCCTCTGCTGACATCCTCCGTCACCCTGCGCAGAACTTCATCGTCGACGCCTTCGTCCCCTACTCCGCCGCAGCAATGGCCGCCGCGACCCTCCTCCGTTCCTCAACCGGCGCAATCCTGCCCATCTTCTCACCTCAGCTCTTCATCAACCTCAACTACGGCCTCGGCGCAACGCTCCTCGCTTGCGTCTCACTGCCCGCCGTCCCTGCACCGCTGATCCTGTTCATGATGGGTGAGAAGCTGCGGGATCGCTGGCGGTTCAAGGCGTAGACTTTCGTATTTATATCTGAACATCCTGCATCTCGCTGCGTCGTATCCACAACATTGCTGGGAACCGAGGTGCGACGAGCTTCTTGGCAGAGTGATCAACTACTGCTGGAACATCGCCTTGAGGGTCGCCTCGCTGCGCGCCTGCCTCATCCGCTCCGTCTCCTCGACTCCGCCACTCTTCTTCAGCTTGCCCTCGCCGACAAAGTCTCCGAGCTCTCTCGCAAACTCGTCCGTCCGCGATGCCATGTCCAGCTCGCGCTGCTTTTCGGCCCGAGCGATCGCCTCGAGTCGGCGCGAGGGGTCGGGCTGAAGCGCCTTGACCTCCATCAAGACGGTCGACAAGCCCTCTTGAGCGTTCTCTGCGCCGCCGAGATCGCGCAATTCCCGCCTCGGGCCGCCCGAAGGCGTCTTGAGCTGCTTGGCGACGGCCTGGATGTTCTTGAGCACCTTGCTCGCGTCCTCGAGGTCCTCATCGAGCTCAGTGAGCAGCGTCTCCTGCGTCTCGACGGCCTTCTGCTCGCCGAGGATCTTGCTAAGCTCGACGGACCACATCTGCGACCACGTCGGCTTGACGTCCTTGAGCCATTCGACGAGCTTCTGACGCGTCTCGAGCGCCTTGCGGAGAGCCGATGCAGTCTCACTGAGTTGTTGCGGGCGGGGCTTGACGCCTCGGACGGTGTCGGCGCGAAGCTGCTCGATCGTGTCTTGCAGTTCGTCGACCTTGACGACGAGGTCGGTGCTCTCGGCGTCGAGGCGCGCAGTGCCGGCTTCCACAAAGGCGCGATCGGTTGAGAGCTTGGACTGGGCGAGGTGCTGCACGTGGCTTGTCTGGACGCGGACGGAGGCGAACATCTCCTTGGTCTGCGAGGTGAACTCGGCGTAGACCTGGCGGAGGACGCCGATCTCGCGACGAAGGTTTTGCACCTCGGCGTGCTGCGTCTTGAGCGTGTTGACAATCGGCGCGATAGAGGCGGTAGGCGTGACTGGCGTGGCCGGTGCAGACGAAAGCTCGTTGCTCTTCTCGTCCTCCTTTGGCTTCGTGCCCGCACTGTCATCCTCCAAGACCATTCCGTTCACCTCGTTGAGCTTCTTCGCCCGCAGCACTCGCTGAGCAGCCTGCTCGAACTGCTTCTCGGACGGGCTAGGTCGCAAACTTGGAGACGGCGCGTCCGGCAATGACGGTGGATGCTGCGACGTGGGCGAGAGCAACGTGAAATTGGCGAGGGACGCCGAGTTGGCCGAGACAGAGAGGCGACGCATGGCGGTCACGGTAGCGCGGAGCTCCTTGATATCCTGCGCGAGCGTCGAGAGGCCGCGATCGATGTGTTGCTTGACCTGGTCGACGGCTGTGACGAGAAGTTGTCAGCTAGTTGCCGGAGAATTGTCGGGTGCGCCCGACTCACTGTCGATGTTCAGGCTCAATACGCTGCCCGCCCTGACCTCCGACATCTCCTCAAGTTCGTAGTGCACGCCCGCCTCCGTATCCCGCAGATAGATATCCGGCCAATCGTTCATGCCAGGGTTGAAGCCGAAGCGTTCGACGAAGAGCTGGCGCAAGCTCTGCACGTCTGGCGGGCCGAGCAGGCGAGCCTTCTTGACGTCTCGCCCGACCTGCAGGAAGACGGAGAAGGGGTATTCGGGCTCGGATGGCGGGGGAGGTGAGCTTGACTGAGGAGGGACGGGCGAGAAGTCAGTCGGAAGAGGCGGAAGAGCGGGGGACGGAGCCCGTCGAGCGGGTGGCGGATCAGGGCGAAGGGAGGTGGATGAGCCGGACGAAGGCAGGGGAGGCGGGGCGAATGCGGGAGGGCCCGAACGTGAAACGGGCGGCGAGTGCTTTGGGGAGGTCGTCTCATCGTCTTCCTCCATGATAGGCGAGGCGGAAGGACCACGCAGATCCGTTGACGACGAGTACGAGCGAGGGATCGGCGGGATTGGCGGAACAGCGCGACTCCCGCTTCTTGCATGTCCGCTCCGACTGTACTCGCTCTTGCTCCGTCGCGGTACATCTGCGCCTGCGAGCTCGCGACCAGCCGAGGACCCCGACCCGCTCCTCCCCAAGTCACCCGACCTGCTCCTGCTCGGTCTTTCCAGTCCCGGGCTGGCGGGAGAAGGCGACGTCGAGCCGGGACTCGGGCTCGTCATCTTCTGAATCGCATAAGCCGAGTACCGCTTGCTCGCCCGTCGAGAGAGGTTGTCGCTCGCCTTGAGTGCCTCTAACGATGCCGCTTGGGCGTACTGATGCACGTGCGAGTCCTCGGCGGAAGAGGCGATCGAGACGGTGGAAGGAGGGCGGACGATGGTCGAAGGAACAGGAGCGGGCCCGCCGAAAGGCGATTGCGAGGGGAAGGTATCGCTTGTCGGGGTGCGAGGGACTGCTGGGACGGCATCTTCGCGCTGTCGAGGTGGCGGAGGAGACGTTCTGCGCGTCCGCTCGGAAGACTGGCGAGACGAGGAAGCAAAAGGGCCGGATGCGGAATCGAGAGAGGCGGAGGAGTTGGTGCGAGGCATGCCAGTAGCGGTCGGCGTCGGCGTGAACGCGCCCTCGAAGTTCGTGTGAGACGACCGCGACGGCTCGCGCATCGAACCGCCGCGCGCTGGGCCGCCTGACGAGCGTGAGCTTAGCGCCGCCGACAGGCGCGCGTCCGTCGATGACTGCACGCCGATGTCGCTCGCACTGCGCCGGCTGTCGGTGCTGTTTCGTTGCCGCATCGACGAGTCGTCCGCGGAAGGCTGGCTCGCTGGTGCGGCCTGAGCCACAAACCGTCTCAAGTCCTCCTTCGCTCGCACAGCACTCCCCGGCGTCATAGGCGGACCCATTGTGGCTCCTACTGCCACTGCACCGCTGCTGCTGCTCGACGCGCCTGTACCCGCCGCTTCCCTCGCTCGTCTCGCCGTGACGCCTTCCCTGTACATTCGCTGCTTTTCGCGCAAGCCGTGCAGGAGACCGATGATGATCTGTCGGACTTGCGGGAGGTGGCGCTCGAGAGTCGCTTGCGAAGGCGGGTCGGAAAGGCACGTCTCAAGGCAGACGCGCAGGTCGGAGGGGACAGACATCAAGTCGCTGCCGGCTGAGAGTCAGCTGCAAGCCGGTCTTGCAGAATGCAGCAATACGCACTTCATCGAGATGTTCTCGCGAGCGAACGCGGCGCAGGCGACGTTGAAGTCGTTGCCCAGCTTGACGTAGATCGCAGAAATGGCTTCCTCGTCCACCTCGCGCCGCGACCATTTGGCCAGACCTGTGTAATAAAGTGTTAGCTTGTCCTAACGAGCGATACGGGAGTAAAGCGAGGCGCACCTTCGAGCAATTGTTTTGTCGCAACGAGGAGGCGGGTGATAGTCGACTCGAGGTTCGACGTCGATGCTGGGCCCGCTCCTGTCGACTGTGCAGCTCGAACGCGTCAGTATGATGCGTCAACTGCAAGCAGAACGTTCGTCTCTGGCCAGCATGACAATCCCTGGTCCGAGCGAGGTGGGGAGACGACTCACTCGACCGCTGCCTGCCCGGGTCGACATGGTCGCCGTCGGTGACGACGACCTCCCTGACCCTCCAGCCGATGCCATCCCAGCCGTACCGACCGTGTTCGCGCTTCTCGAGGCTGAAGGGATGCAACAGGAGCTAGCGGAGCGAGGATAGGATGGAACCGGTTGGGCGCTTGGGTGCTGTCCTGGCGGAGGTCTAGCAGGTCAAGTGAGCCAGTCGAGCTCGCCCGCAAGCCGATCCAGCGGGGCGAAGTGAAGCGGACTTCATCAACCGCAAGTCGCGACGCAGGTCTCCCCTCGACTGCTCGCTGCTATCGCTTAGAACGCCTGCTGAGGCCGCTCAGTGGCTCACAGAAGCTCTCTGCACCGACACAACCCGCCAAAGCAGCGCCAGTCGCCGGTCTCGCCCTTCCACGCCGCCTCTCCTCCTGAACGCCGGACGATGCTGCCTGAAGTCGCCGGCTGGCTGCCAGGATGGCGCAGCGTGACGAGCACAAAGGCGCCTCCGGATCCGGCAGCGTCCGACGTCCATCTCCCCTTCTCGTCCTTCCTCACCTGGATTCCGCAGTCCTTCCACCCTTTCCTCCGGTCCCTCCTTATTGCCTCACTCCGCCTCGGTCCGCGACCACAGCACGTCGCATTTATTATGGACGGGAACAGGCGCAGCGCGCGGGAGAGGAAGCTGCCGGTGCGGGTCGGGCACGAGGAAGGCTTCGAAGCGCTCAAGCGGGTCCTCAGCTTTCTCCTCAAGCTGGAGATCCCGCATGTGACGGTTTACGCTTTCTCCATCGAGAACTTTAACCGGGATCCGATGGAAGTCGAGGCGTTGATGGACATGGCGCGGAAACGGCTCGTCGAGATCTGCCAGCACGGGTGCGTTCGTCTTCGACGCCCTTATTCTGCCTCGACGCTGACTCACTTCCTTCATACAGTGCGTTACTAGACCAACACGGCATCCAGATCCGCGTCCTCGGTCGGCGAGACCTCCTGCCGCCAGACGTGCAAGAATCGTGCGCCGAAGCGGAAGCGCTCACGGCCGGCAACACGAAGTGAATCCGCTCTGCGCTTCTGTACAGCTTCCTCGCTAACTCATGACCGCCACAGGGGAATCTTGAACCTGTGCTGCCCGTACGGCTCGCAAGAGGAGATTGCCACGGCTATCAAGCGGACTGTCGATTCCTGTCGCGAAGGGAAGCTTACTCCCAGGTGCGTTTGGCTCTTTCAAACGTCACCTAGATCGCCGCTGACGCCGCTGGATACGCAGCGATATCACGGAAGAGCATATCGCCGCAAACCTCTACACCGCCGCCTCCCCTCCTCTCGACATCCTCATCCGCACATCAGGCGTCAGCCGCCTCAGCGACTTCTTGCTTTGGCAGGTGCGCACATTGCCCGCAGTCTTTGCGCGAGCGCTCACTGACCTGGTTCACTCCTTGCAGTCGAACGAATCGACCATCCTTCACTTCGTCACGCCCAATTGGCCAGATATCGGCGTTGCGGACATCCTCCCACCTCTACTCTCCTTTCAAGCGGAGATCTGGGTTGGGCAGGTGTCGGATACCCTGGAGAGTTGGCGAAGATGGTTTGCCGGCGACAGCACAAGTAGGAGGGTGAAGGCGGAGTGATGCGTTTCCCGCGCGCCATAGTATTGTTGTATCTAGTACGCAACCTTCTCTCCAGGATGTGGAGCTTGCTCGTGGTTTGAGCGTGACGACGACCGGGCGGACTCACCTTTCCTCTTCCTCTCTTTCCCTTCCTTCCCGCACTCATACTCGCTCACGTCGCATTGAACTACACGGACTAGCTCCAGGACATACGCGAACGATCGTTTGACCGGTTCTGCGCCTGTTGAACCGCTGCGCAGCGCTTTCCTCGCCCACTTCCCTCCTCCTTCTCCATCTCTCGAACATGTCCCTCTTCTGCTACACCGCTTCCTTTGCGATGTCTGCCGCACACACAGCCTTGTCCATAGCTTTCTGCCCTCCTCGACTAGGCTATCGTTGCGCTTGTGCTGTCGTGGTACGTCCTTCCACTTTCTCATCGCTTGCGGTCTGGTCCAGCCTCCTTGACGATTTCACGCATTACAGATGCCGGTCTACTCTTCCCCAAACTCGCTCACGGACTCATGCGACGCACTTGCGCCGCTCGACGTGGCCTGCGAAGCGACAGCCGACCTCCAGCTCGCCGTCACTGCCTGCGATGAAGGGCGGCGCTTTGCTTCCACCCCTCCCGATTCCCTCTTCACGCCGGATTCAGCGCCTTTTGCTTCTGCACGTTCTCCTGTTGCTCTCGACATCGCGCCCATCGTTACCGACGAGCCACTGTCTGAGCCTTCCCCTCCTTCTCCTCCTCTTTCCCTCGCTTCTTCCATCGCCTCGCGTCCTTCGTCTACTGTGTTCGACGAGCCTGCTCTCGCACTTCCCGAGACTTGTGCTCTTCCCCGTTCCTTCGCCTACCGAATCAAGGTGGACGCTCTCGAAGCCTGGCTCGTCCTCAACTTCGTCCGCCTGCCGACAGGAACCGCCCATGCCGCCGCCCGTACTCACGGCCTTGCCCGCATTAACATGGAAGAGTCGTACGAGCTCGCCCTCGACATTGCTTGGAACGCCACGAAGTTTCAGGAGGAAGAACCCGACCGGGTCGCGAGGCTCAGATCTCGCGTTATGCGGATGATGGACGACTACCTCGATCACTCACAAAACTGCAAGAAGCGGCGAGCATTGGCACACGCCCGCCCGAAACTGCAGCACACCCCGAAGCTGTACTCTTTCCCCTCCACGTCCACCTCACCCTCCTTCGTCTCGCTTTCCGAACTTCGACAAGAGCTCGACCTACCCCTCCCACCTTCTCTCACCCGCCGTCGCCGCTTCGCAACCTACCGCTCGAGCTACAGATCGCACCGCTCTCGCTCCCGGTCTCGCTCGAGGTCCAGCACACAATCTCACAGATCACGGCCCCAGCAATCGGACCTCCAGATGCGGGTACGGCTGAACGAGGCGTGGAAGGTGTATCGGCAGAATGAGCCTCAAAGGCTGGAGAAACTGCGGAAGAATCAGGAGCTGGCGAGGCGATATCAAGAGGCGGCTACTATGGCGGGACCCGAGGAGACGCAGGCGAGCACATTGGACGACCGCGTCGGCGTCGCGAACCTTCCACAGGAGACTGCGGTCGTCTGCTCCGACTGGCGACTCGCGCTGGACGAGGACGACGACGAGTACTTCGCGGCGCCCCCCGTCTTCGACTCCTGAATTGCAGCGACGCTCTGACGTCTCGAATGGATGCCCTTGACACACTTTCGACTCCATGGGGGCTTGTATGTTCGCTCGGCAGGCGGGAGAGCATCCCGTTCGGGCTTCTGTAAACGCATATTTGTTCCAGGTCGCCTCTTTCCTCGCCCAGCCGACTATACACGCCTGAGCAGAGCATAGAAGCGGTAGACAGCGCAAAGGAACGCGGTCGCAACAGTCGTCTGCCCTCGACCAGACCCTCCGCGCCTTCTCTTTCTCCGCACACATCTCGTCTCGCTTCGTTCGCTTCACAGACGACTGCTACGCTATGCTGGTGCTTCGGAGAGCCGGCCACACGCCTCGCCTTCCTTCACCACCCTTGCGATCTCTCCTCTCACATTCTCATCGCGCACTGTCGGCGACGGCTCCATCGCGGGCGGCAGCGACCGGCGTAGAAGTCGCGGACCCTCTCTTGCTGTACTATAGCCTTGGTGAGTCACGCTTTGCCCTGTCGGATCGCCCGATAGAGAGGAAGACGAGCTGATGTCGTCGCTTCTTCCCCCACCTGATCCCCGAACCCTCCCGTCTGGCTCGTACACCGCTCGCCCGCCTCGTAGTCGCCCAGGGCAAGATAAAGAAGGATGAGGAACAGCTGCGAGCGTTGGTGCAGGTCGGTCGCCGCTTTCTTCGCGTCTCTCGCCCTCGTTCCGCTGCTAATCCACTTTCGCAACGCTGCAGATGCGCAAGTTGCACGGCGAGTTGCTAGACTACCAGCCGCCCGTACAGCTCTTCACATTACTCGACTCGATCCGCGCCCTTCCCTCCGCCTCGAGTTCCTCTACGACCGTCTCGTCCTCTTCCCTCCTTCCCGCCTGGCCTTTTCGACGGTCGCCTCTTTCTTCCCTCGGCGAAGGCTTGTCAGAGCAGGACGAGCGCGAACGGATGCGGTTGGCGACGATGAGCGAGAGGGAGAAGACGACGCAGCTGGTCAAGGTGCTCAAGGCGAACGAGGGTCTCGAGGATCTCGACACGCCCAAGGGCTTCTTGCTGACGGGTCCGCCAGGGACGGGAAAGAGGTGCGTTTTGTAAGTCTGCCGCACCGAGTCGCTGCTGATCGCGACCGTCCACAGTCTTCTCATGGACCTGTTCTTCCAGTCGCTCCCCGTCGCCAGCAAGACCCGCCATCACTACCATGCCTTCCTCCTCTGGATCTATCAAGGCGTACATCGTGCTCTCGAGAAGCAGCGGCTAGAGAATGAGGAGGAGGAGCGGTTGATGAACGAGCTGTACCAGAAGAGCGGGAAGAAAGGGTACCCGTGGAGCAGGAGGGAGGAAATGAAGGCCAAGGCAATCAGTCAGGGATGGTGAGCTTGTTCTTCGTCGATGTGCAAGCTTGCTCACCGCTGACTCGCTGCGAGTCCCGCAGGCAATCTGTCTTCGCAGGTGCGTCGCGCATGGAGATCTCGGCTTCGTGACCTCGTCGTTGACCATGACTGAATCTCGTGCACGCTCAGGCGGTCGCTCCGCTCACGACGCCTCGCTCAACACTCGCGAGTTCGTCCTCGCGCAAGTTGCGCTCGACTTGCTCAAGACGCAGGGCTGGCTGCTCGCTTTCGACGAGATCCAACTGGTCGATATCGCCGGAGCTGGTCTCGTCAGCCGCGTGATGAGCTGGTACTGGCGACTCGGCGGTGTTGTCGTAGGCACCTCGAACCGAGTGCCGGAAGGTGCGCTTCTCCCCTCATTTCGTCCGGCTTCGACACTCATGCGTGTGCCTGCAGATCTCTACAAACAAGGCATCCAGCGAGCTACCCTATCCCCCTTCCTGACCGCCCTCTCGCACCGCGCGCCAGTCATCGACTTATCTTCGCCAACCGACTACCGCCTCGTGGCTCGCTCGCAGACTCCGCTCTCACCCTCGACTGACGCCGAACAACCAGGTGGTTTTGGCTCCGTCGACGCATGGCGAAGATGGGGCACACGTTCGCGCGGCTGGTTCGTCAAGGGCGAGGTTGAAGCGGCTTGGCGGGAAGCCTTGGAGTGGGTTGTCGGCGATGCGGAGGGCAGCGAGACGGTGTTGACGGTGTATGGTCGGAAGGTCAAGGTGCCTTGGGCGAGCGGAGGAGTGGCGAGATTCTCGTTCAAGGATTTGTGCGAGAAGCCACTCGGCCCGGCCGACTACATTTCGATCGGCAGTGCCTTCGTGAGTACCGCTCTCTCGCTGTCGGTTGCATGGGACTGACCGCCTCTCGATAGCACACCGTCATCATCGACGACGTCCCCGTTCTCCCGCTGAGCGCGAAGAACGAAGCGCGGCGGCTGATCACCCTGCTCGACGCCCTCTGTCAGGCTCTCTTCTTCCGAGCAACTACAGCGACGCAACTGATTCATTTTTCTCCTCAGACGAAACCAAGACCCGCCTTCTCGCCTTCGCCGACTCGCCTATCGACTCGCTCTTCTTCCCCGACGCCATTTCCTTGACGCCTCCGCCCTCTCCAGCAGACATCCCGGTTGACGACCTTCCTACATCTTTCAGCGAGTTCGCCGGCTCGCAAGCACCCGGATCGAGCGGACCTGTGCACGTTCTCGACGCCTCGACCTTCTCCCTTCCGCTCAATTCGTCCTTGACCCGAGCCGGCAAGGCGGAGCAGCGACAGGCGCAGGATGCAGCGGGAGAGGTCATCGACTCGTTGACGGAGGAAATGCTCGGCGACGTTGCGCAGGACCTCGAGGCGCCGTACCGACCGAACATCTCGAGCTACGACGAAAGCGCGCAGGTCGGGGCATACGAGCGGGATGCGGCGAGAGTGCTCGAGGAGCAGGACGAGCAGGTCCGACGGCAGCTCAAGAAGCGGCAGGAGCAGGAGGCTCGCGCACCGATTCACCCAAGTGCCGCGACTCCCAGCTTCCAGAGTCTCGCCATCTTCACGGGCGAGGAGGAACGCTTTGCCTTCAAGCGCGCCGTCTCTCGCGTACACGAGATGTCGTCCGCCGAGTACCTCGTCACCGCCAAACACTCGCCACTCCCGTCGGCCGTGCGCACATGGGAACAGACGGTCTCGTCCTCGCCTGCCTCACTCGCCGCCCAAGCCGCCGCCGCCTCCGCCTCGCCCTCACGTCATACTGTAGGCGACAAGGCGCCCCTGCCCGCCGACGACCGTCTCTCAGACGTCCTCGACCCATCGGCCTTGCGCGCCAAGTGGCCGGAAGGGATGCCCGCTGGCGACAAGGAGGTTGACGTACGGCGACAGGACAAGCCTGTGCTTTCAGAAGCGCATGTTTGGGGTGTCAGGGAGGACTGGGGGAAGAAGGCGGGACGATGGGGCAAGGGAGCGAAGGCTTATGAGGATGGGGAGTAACAGCGTTTTCGCTCCTCTCTCGCTCTGTAGATTACGGTCGTAGTCTCCGCTGCAAGCCTCGGGCGCTTGCAGGCAAAGGAACCGGCGTTTCTTCTTCGTTCGCGGTCAGCTCGCGCTCCTGAACTCAGACTCTTCCTCCTTCACTCCCGCTCGCTGGCAGCGCGGAGGCTTGCTAGGTCTGCTAGTAGCTCATGAGCGACTGCGACCGCCGCCCGCACCTGCCCGCACCACCCGCGACCACCCGCGTTCCTCCCATCTCGCTCCACCACAAACGCTTGACATCCGCCGCGCACACGCTCAGAAGCCCGCCAGCTTGGTCTATCAGAGTCTGTCAACGACTAGTCAACCGTCCAGGCGGCTGCGTAGCTCCCGCGCCCCGCCCGCTCGCTCGACTGACAGTACTCAATTCGCCTGGTCGTTCGAACCCGCCCAAACTCGCGCACGACAACTTACTCGCTGTCCGGACCCGTCGACCGCGACGCAGTCCTGCCAGGCTCAGCATCATGAGCAGGTTCTTCCGCAAACTCCTCCACATCCCGCTCAGTCGCCCCTTCTCTTCCTCCGCACTCCCCCGTCTTCAGTTCCGTATCGCACGTCTCGGCCGTCCTATGCTGTGCAACGTCGAAGTTCCTCCACCCTACGACATGAGGCTTAAGGATGCGCTGCGCGAGTCCGACGCGCTCACCCGCACGGCCCAAGTTCGCGAAATCCTTCGGTCCGCGCATCTTCTCTCAAACGAGCTCATCCCCATCGATCCAGCCGAAATAGCGACAGTCGAAGCAGAAGGAGATCTTGACTTCCGTCTGGGCACGACTGAACACGTTGCTGTGTTGGGCGAAGGGTGGCTGAGGAGGATGATCGACGAAGCGGTCGGCAAGGCTATGGAGAAAGTGACGGCAGAGAACAATGCGGTGGCTGAGGAGCTCACAAAGAAGATTGAGTCGGTCGAATTGGCGGGACAGACAAAGATTCAGTCGGTCAAATTGGCGGGGCGGAAGCTCACCGAGGGGCTTGAAGAGGATGTTGAGTCGATAAAGCATGTCCTGATGGCGTCACAGAAGAGGCTGATGTCCGCAAACGGTAAGGCCAGCCGTCCTTGCCGTCTGTTTGCCGTCCGCTGACTTTGCGACCTGGAAACAGCCGTCAACCGCCTCGTGCTCTCCAAGGCGTTGGCCAAGGGGATTATCACCGTGTCGCAGCACAAACATCTCGTACGCTATGCTTCGGCAGGTGCGTCATGATCTGATTCGTCTCGGGACGTGCCGTCCTGACCCTCGAATCTCGGCACAGGCGCTGTCCTCTCTCGACCCCTCACCAAATCGGTTCGGCAGACGCTCGGTGCCCAGACGACCAGTCACTTGCGCACGTTTCTGAACGGCGACGAGATCTCCCTTCTCGTCCGCACCGCCAGCCGACTCGCCCGTACGAAGGCCCTCACCAAGCTTCGAAACCGCATTGCCCATCCAAGACCTCCGCAGAGCAAGAAGCGCGACTTGATCAAGAGCGAGCTCATCAAGCAAGGTGCACGACCCGAGTGGGCTGAAGAACAGGCAAAGGCGGCAATGGCACTCATCTTCCGTGCGTTCGCTTCCGTTCCTGCTTGATTCCTGCCAACTCTCCGCCGACTCACGGTCATTCAACATTCGGGCCCGAGCTCGTAATTTGTGTGCAGGCCTACCATCATACCTGATCTGCCATTCCTCCTCGTCTCACGCACACATGCCTGTCGACTCTCCCTCACGCCTATGCCCGTCGATTCTCCCTCAGCTCCATCGAAATCTTGTTGTCGACACATCACTACAGTAGTAACCTTTGCAAGTCGCTCTTCGTCGCATGTCGCCCCTCGAGATCAACGCTCCGCGGATTTTCCGCACCGCTCTCCGAGGCTCGCTCCTCTCGTCTCTTGCTTTCCGCCAAGTTCTCTGCTATGGCTCACTCCAGACACTCACGACATTACGACAGCGACACTTCGACCGACACGGAGGACACGACGCCAACCGAGTCGTCGGATTCGTCTGAGGAGGAGGAGGAGGAGCGACCAAGACGACGGCGAAAGCGGCGACACTACGGGCATGACGACGACAGGCGAGGGCTGATACCGGTGAGTCGCTCGCGCGTCCCTGCGAGACTCGCGCTGACTGTTCATGCCGAACAGAAACGCTCTGCGCCGTCCTCTAACAACAACATGCTCTGGCTTGGCGTCGGCCTCTTCGTTCTGCTTGCTGCTCTCGGTGTGGGAGCTTACTACTGGTGGACGCATCGCGACGGTACTTCGTCGTCGTTTCTCGGCGGGACTGGCGCCTCGTCTGGCACAGGCGGGACGGGCGGGACAGGATCAGGCTCGACAGACGACAGCAGCGGCATTGGAGCAGGAGCAGGGTCTGCAGGTGTCGCGACAGGAGGAGCAGGTGGCGATGCGACGGACACAGGAGGAGGAACCGACTCGCCAACAGCCGTCGCCTCTGGCAATGCAGGCGCGACTGGTGGCGGCAGCTCTTCGTCTGGCGGAGCGGCGGCACCGTCAGGCTCAGGGAGTGCAACTGCCTCGGCGCCGGCGTCGAATTCGACGGGCGCGACGACCGGCGGCAGCACTGGCGGCGGGAAAGGCCAGATCTTGGGCTTCTGGGAGAACTGGAAGGGCATGTCGATCGCCGACACCAAGTTCTCGTCGTATCAAATCTGCGTCTGGTGCGTGACGGGCGAGCTCGTCTTCGATGGCTGCTGACTCGTCCGCGAACAGGTTCGTCGCCGTACCAGGGACTGCCGCTGAGAAAGGCGCTCTCACGATGGGCGAAGGAGCGGTCAAGGCGAAGGACTGGGCGGCAGCGGCAACGAAGGCTGGGTGCAAGCCAGTATTGTCCATCGGCGGGTGGAGCGGTACGCGAGGTTCTCCACGCTCGACGAACGCGAATGGCTCACTCACCCTTCTTCGGGCAGGCTCAAATACGTTCAGCGGTCTCATGGCGACGGATACGAGTCGAAGTGACTTTGTTAACACGATCAGCGCCGCGCTGGACGCGAACGGGTTCGGTGCATATACTTCAGCCAGCTTGCTCTCCGAAGAGACGGCTGACTTTCCTTTGTGGCAGTCGGCGCGGACCTCGACTGGGAGTATCCGGGCAAGGCTGGCGCGACAAACGTGAGCTGAGATGCCAACGTGAGCGCGCGAAACCGCTCATCGTCCTCCCGCTACGTACAGGACTTCGACACCAAGAACGACTTGAACAATTTCCTGACCTTCCTCAAGGCACTGCGTGCAAAATTGGGCAAAGACAAGCTCATCAGCGCCGATACATCAGCCGGCGTGTGGGTGGGATCGGACGGCCAGCCTAGCAAGGACTTGAGCGCTGTGCGGCCTTCTCGATCCTGTCCGGCGTGTTTTCCTGCTGACACAGCCTCTTCTGCGCAGTTCGCCGCCGTCCTCGACTTTATCACTATCATGGTGCGTCAGCGTGACCCTCTCAGTCGACGTCGTTCTCGTCCAACGAGGCTGCATCCTTGACACCCGTCCGCAATGCGCATCGTCTCCCCTTCTTTGCTGACAACACCGCCTTTCGTAGACCTATGACTCGGTAACCTATTCGGCGAAGGTGACAGGACCCAACTTCGTCAGTTCCGCTGCAGCCTCTTTCGAAGCAGAAGCTCACAAGCTAACGACGTTCCCTCGCGCAGGCCCTCGACTCTTCCTGCGCCCCAACGAGCAACCAGTTTGCCATTCCGAGCACGGTTAAGGCCTGGATAGACGCCAAGTTCCCGGCGAATAAGGTGCGTTCCCTTGTCTTCCCTTTCGCGTTGCTGCCGCTGACGAATTCTCTCGCAGATCATGCTCGGTCTCGCTTCGTACGGCTATGCATGGAAGGTCGCCAACTTCCAGGCGAACGGTGTGAGCGGTGCCAAGTCCCCGATCTACCAGGAAGCGTCCGGCACGCTGAGCGCTACAGATGGGTCGGTAGACTACGATATCAACGTTTCGAAGGCGAGCATCCTCTCGTATCACACGCGTAGAGCACGACAAGCTTACTTCCCGTCTGGCGTACCGCAGAACATTCCTTCGATGCAGCGGACGTTCGACAAGTGCACTTCGACGCCGTTCCTTTACTCGAAGGATACGCAGCTTTTCATCGCTTGTACGTCTCCGCCGCTCCTTTACGTGGACTTTCCTGAATCAACTCGCTCGTGCGAAGATGACGACGAGGAGAGCATTGCCGCGAAGGGCGGTTACGCCGGCACGAACGGCTTGATGGGCTGTTCTATCTATGCCGGCATGACGCAGAACAAGGACGGGAAGCTGGCGGCAGCGGCAAAGAAAGTCTGCTGAGTAGACGCACTCCTGCATTGCAGCAAAGCTCGAAGCAATGGAACAGTCCGGTCGTACTCGTGGTTGAGCCTGCTACTTATCCGTGTCGAGCTCGCTACAATGCAAGGGGCGCGAGAGCTCCTGATAGTTGAGCGTTCCATCCACAGCTCAAGAGTCGCCCAACGGCTTGTGGCCCTCGTCGCCAATCACGTCCGCCAAGTTGGTCGTGCCGGATCCTCGCTTCGCCGGCTTGGGCTGCGAAGGGTCGGGCTTCCAGCCAATCTGTGAGTGGGAAGCGTCAGCGAGCCAGCCAAAGGGAGGCTGAGTGTGGGATGAATGGGAGAACGCACCATGTGCATGATCTGGAAAGTCGCGGGAATGGAGCCGTCCTCAAGGCCGTGCAGCTCTGCGTGAAAGTATGCTCGTCAGTGCGTGCGCGATTCCATTCTCGATCACGGCGACCTGTGACGGCGAACCCGTCGGCTCGCAGTGGAACCTCGCAACGCACCCTTGTAGATCTCGCCCGCCGCCAACAACGTTTCCGGATCCAGCCGCTTCCTCCGATTGACCACCGCGTTCCCCTCGCCCATCCATTTGAGGTCGTCGATGAGCTCGAAGATGGAAGGGTACGCGATCTGGACCTCGTCGACGTCGACGGTCGAGAGGGAGAAACCGGCGCGGTTGAGGAGGGAGGTGACAGATTGCGAGTCTGGCGTACGTGATGCAGGTCGAGGTCGCGAGGAATGGTTTGGTCGCGGCAGTATAGGAGCAGAGTGAGCGAACAGGTCCTGTACTCCTTTCCACCGCCTCGCACGCACCGGTCATAGGCGATACTCGCGGCGAGATGCCGCCTTCTCGCTCGACCTCAGCAAGTTGTAGAGCCGTTCTGCGTGGTACGCAACCTGGTCAGCCGACTTTGACGGGGAGACAAGCGGTCCAAGGGACGTACCGCAGCTCGAAGAGCGTGTCGCCGCCGAACATCGAGCCAATGAAGACGCCGTCTGGTCGCAGTGTCCGCTTGATCTGGATGAGCGTGCCTGCGAAACCGAGTAGCGTCAGTTGCGCTAGTCTTCGAAATAGAGATTGGTTTCGAGCGCACCGGGCAGGTCGTTGATCCAGTGCATTGAGAGACAGGACATGACGCAGTCATAAGAGTTCTCCTCGAAGTGCGATGAGAGCTGCTCCTCATCAAGGTGGATCCGCTCGACGGGGACTGCGCAACTCAACGTCAGTATGGCTTGCTCCGTCGTCGTCAAGGAGGACGAGCCGGCTGGACGAGCTGGCAAGACTTGCCGACCTCATCCTACGCAGAGCGAGCAGCATGGCGGAAGTAGAACGCACCCTCTGTCTCGACATCCTTGTCCCGGTAAAGCATCTCCTCTGCGAACGGCGAGGTCGTCAGTCTGTCGGCCTCCGACAGCGACACGGACCGCTTCACGACTCACTCGACGAGTCTATCATGACAACCTTCTGCGTAATCTCCGGGTCGAGGTGCTTGGCGAGGTAACCAGGTCCGGAACCGACATCGAGGACGACTGGGTACCGCCGTGTAATGTCCTGCGAGAAGCGCCCGTCAGTATCGTCTCAGAATCCTGGTCTGCAATATGGGAAGCGCAGCAAAGGAACTGCTACTGCCCGACGACTGCATATCGTTCTACGAGGAAGAGACGAGACGCACGAGCAAACGATCGACCATTCCCTGGGCGACGTCGTCCTTGACATAGTCCGTCAGCCTGCTCCTCTCCACGTTTCGTGCAGCCCTGTCCCGCTGTGCGCGCTTGAGCTGGCGATCGAAGACGGCGAACGGACTGGCAGAGGCTGGTGCGAAGGAAGGGACTGCGTAGGCGCGGTTCGGCTGGCGCAGTGCAGTTCTGAGCGTCGTAGCGGGTCCAGATCGAGTCAAGCTGGCCATCCTGGCGGTGTGCGAGCGAGAAGTACGACTTCATCAGTTTGCTCCACCCCTTCTCCTCTGGACCTACTCTTCCTCCCGCCTCTCTCGCTCGGATGGCTAGAATGACTGCTGGCGGAGCGAGATACAGCTGGTCTGCACGGGATCCGCGAACAAGGCGCGGCTTCCCCGTTGACACGCCGCAGTTTGAGCGACGAGTGCGCGACTTGTCGACGAGGCAGTCCAACCCTGACGAAGGTGCGCCCGGCTGGCCTTCTTACGCGTGTGTAGACGTGCTGACATTGATGTTCACACCCGCAGAGATGAGCGCCGCCAACTTCTTCATCCCTTCGCTTCCCGGACAGCCCGCCGACTCGTCGCTCACGATGTATGGCGGCCACATCCCCTCTGCGCCGCCCAAGAACGGCGTGCCCGACACCGAGTCCGACGCTCACCTGTACTTCTTCATGGTGCGGAACAAGCACATCGCCGACACCGAGCGGACACTGCTCTGGTCCGTCTCCCCTTCCCTCCCGCAACTCCGCTCCCGCCACGGTTCTCCCGCTCCCGGTCTTCTGTCTCCTCCCTTTATACAGCGCTGACACGACGACGCACTCGCAGGTTCAACGGCGGACCCGGATGCTCGAGTTTCGATGGCGGCATGATGGAAATCGGTCCCCACCGTCTCGTGCCGAATGGCGACGGCAAGCTCGTCGAGGCAGAGGGAGCGTGGAACGAGTACGCCAACGTCATCTTCAGTGCGTGCAGAAGTTTGTCCTTGACGGGGTAGCTCGGCTGACTCTGCTGCCTCCGCAGTCGACCAGCCTGTCGGGACGGGCTATTCGTACATGTCGACGAATGAGTATGTGCACGACCTGCCCGAGGTGCGTTGACGAGCTCATGGTTCCAGTAGCTCCATTGTGACCTCTCGCTTGTGCTTGTCAGGCCTCAGCGCATGTCGTAGAGTTTCTCAGCAAGTTCTACAACGTCTTCCCCGAGTTCAAGAACCACGACGTGCGCTCCAGGCTCTCTCATGCACTCGATCTGCGCGCTGACGCTCTCACCTTACAGACCTACATCGGCGGCGAGTCGTACGCTGGCCAGTACATCCCCTACTTCGCCCAAGCGATCCTCGCCTCTCCCCGTCTCCCAACGCGTCTCAAAGGTCTCCTGATCGGCAACGGCTGGATCGATCCTTATAACCAGTACCCGGCCTACCTCGACTTTGCGCTCCAGGCGGGCGTGATCAAGGAGGGTTCGGACGCGGAGAAGGCGGTCAGGAAGGAGGTCAAGACTTGCCAGGAACACATGGATGTGAAAGTCAGCGGCGGGATGGACAAGATGCCCATCCATCTCGGAATTTGCGAGAGGATCTTGGGCGCCATCACAGACTCGACGATCCAGTCGTGCGTCTCGCTTCTCTTCGCTGCGTGCAGGATCCGGCTAACTCGTTGACATGTCGCCAGCGTCAACGGGCAGAACATGTGCGTCAACAACTACGACGTCCGCCTCACCGATACGCACCCCGCCTGCGGCATGAACTGGCCCCCCGATCTGCACGACATGTACCCCTACCTCGGCGTGCGTCCCTTCCTTCCCTCCCTTCTCCCCTCCTTCAGTTCACTTACGCTCGCTCTGCACACAGCGCGATGACGTCAAATCCGCCTTTCACGCAACCCGCCACCCCGGTCCATGGGTCGAATGTAACGGCCAAGTCGGCGCGCAGTTCTATACGCCCAATAGCCGGCCGAGCGTACAGCTCCTGCCGGAGTTGTTGGAGAAGGTGCCGATTATGATGTTCGCGGGCGCGGAGGATCTCATTTGTGTGAGTCGGTTTGTGGACGCGAGGTTGGCGAGGGCTTCAGGGCTCTCGCGGTACTCTCGACGGCACGGTTGACTCATTCGTCGACTACGCTCGCAGAATCACGTAGGCATTGAGCGGATGATCGAGAACCTTGAGTGGAACGGCGAGAAGGGCTTCGGGGTGCGTGACTCTCCGTCGCTCGTTATCCGTCTCGAGTTGAGTGAGGCTGATCGACTGCCCCGTGGATTTCGCAGAATGCGACGGCGGAAGAGTGGGTTGTCAACGGCAAGTCGGCGGGAACCTGGACTTCAGCTCGCAACATGACCTACGTCAAGATCACCGGTGCGAGCCACATGGTGCGTTGTCACTTTTCTCGAGTGCTCTTCTGACTTCGCTCACGATTCGCTTCGCACAGGCCCCCTACGACGAGCCCCTCGCGACGCACGACATGTTCCTCCGCTTCATCGGCGTCTCGCTCCTCTCCGCCGCCGGTCCAGCAGCTCAAGTCCCCTCCCGAATCGGCAACGAGATCCCCGCCGTCCTCGGCTCGACCCTCCCGAACGGTACCGCCATCGACTCGAGCTCGTCCGGCGGCCTCTCAGCCGAGAAACAACTCGACGGGGTATCGTCCGGCTCGAGCGGCGACTCGAGCTCGTTGGGCTTGAATAGCGGCGGAGGGAAACTCGGATACGGAGGCGACGCAGCTCTGGAAGGACTCGTCCATGCTTCAAGTGCGCTCGTACTTGTCGCGTTGATGGCGGCGGCATTCGCGCTATTCCTGTGGTTCAGGAGGCGGACGCAGAGGTTGTCGCGCGGAGGGGAGGGAGGAGGATGGGGAGCCCTCGGCGGACGACCAGGCGGGTTGAGCAAGCATGCGCGGGCGAAGAGTCTGGGTCGAGGAGGCGGGCTCGGCCTGGGAGGAGTCGAGCACGAGGAGGATGACAGCGAGGACGTCGAGGGACGACCTGGAGTTGGCGGGGACTCGCACGAGCTGGACGAGTTGATGAGTTCGCGCAGGGCGGGTGGTGCGGGAGACGCATACAGGGATGCGGACGAGAAGCGGCGGCTAGCTGGTGGGCGGAGGGACGAGGAGGAAGAGGTCTTTGGGCTCGGGGACGACGAAGACGACGAGGACGAAGCGGCAGGCGGGAGGAAGGGCCGTCTCGACTAGACTTTCGCTGGGGTTGTTCAACATTTTTCGCATGGCTTGTGATGTTGTAACGATGTGTTCTGTGACGCTGTTCAGTCCTGCTAGCGTACTGGAGAGTGCTGCTCATCGACTTGGTGCCGTCGAGCTCGAGCGGGTTGAGGTCGACCACTCTCGCTCACTCGCTGAGCTGGCTGAACTGACACGATGCCAGGCGTAAAGGCATCGCCAAAGAAGTCCCTGTCGCCCTCAAAGAAGGGCAAGGGCAAGCAGCGCGCCACCACCGCCGACGCTCCATCGCCCGCTTCATCAACCCGCTCTCGCGACGCAACCGACGCGCCGGCGCACAAGAAGGCTGTGTCTGCCTCTCCCATGAAGAACGGCAAGAAGGCGAAGAAGGAACAGGTTCAGGAGGAGGATGAGAACGAGTTGTTGAGCTTGGCGGAGCGGATTGCGGAGAGCGCTCACTTGCTCGTCAAGGGCAGGGGGAGCGACGAGCTTGCGCAGGAGGCTCGGCACGTGGTCAAGCGGAGCTTTGACAAAGGTGCGCGGCGTTCCCTTTCGCGGTGAAGCAGTACTGCTCCTCGACAGGATGCGATTTCCAGGCTGCCGCGACGAGCGATGCTCCCTGGAATTGCTTCTCTGTGCCGTAGCTCGTACTAACCTGCGTCTCCTCTCACAGCCATCGCCTCTGAGTCGCTCGCCTTCCCGCATCTGTCCACCCTCCTCGCCTCCCTTTCCCCCGCCGCCGGTCCCTCCACCCGTTCTCGCTCGGCCGCCTCCTTCGCCGACGACGAGCCATCTTTCTCGCTCGTCCCGACGCCCATTCCCGAACTCACGACCGACGGGATGGACGCCGAGATGATCTGGGAGCAGATGGAGTTGAGGGGACAGACTGTGAATGGATTGATGGAGGAGATGTTTGGGCAAGGAGAAGAGGACGAGGGCGAAGAGGGAGAGGGAGAGTTTGGCTCAGACGAGGAGGAAGAGGGAGAGGAGGGCGAGTTTGGACAGGAGTTGGAGGACGAAGACGAGGTGGAGGAAGGCTCAGACGCGGAGGACGATGAGGACATCGACTTTGACGACCTGCCAGAGGCGGCGAAGGAGGAGTACTACCGGCGACTCGGCGAGGGTGAGGACGGAGAGACGGAAGACGAGGAGGACGAGGGAGAGGAGCGGCAGGAGCCTCAAGCCGATCCCTTGACGGACGAGACGAGCGGATTGACGCTCGACAACTTTGACGGCGACCGCAAGGGCAAGAAGCGGCGGACGGAGCGGGGCGTCCGCGCGATCCTGTTTCGGCGGATTGTGCAAAGCTGAACTTCTCTCCTCTCGCAGCGCATCCGGCCCAAAGTCCGAGGTCGACGACGCCTTCTTCTCCCTCTCCGACTTCCACCGCGACGCCAACGAGGGCGAGTACGAGATGGCCAAGATGCTCCGCGGCGAGGTTCCCTCGGACGATGAGGACGACGAAGACGAGGACGGCTCGGGCGGGATCGACCTCTTCGCGCCAATTGGAGGTATGGGTGACGACGACGACGAGGAAGATGAGGAAGAGGGAGACCTCGATGCGGGAGGCGTCATGTTCAAGGACTTCTTCGACCCGCCTAGTCGGCCACCTCCCCGCGGCAAGAAGGCTTCTCTCGCCGGCAAGAAGGTCAAGGCGCCTCTGCCCGCAGCCGAAGCAGACGACGGGGCTATCGAGGAGAAGAAGGAGAAGAAGCGTGGCGTGCGGTTCTCCGAGTCGGTCAAGGTCAAGGAGATCCCGCATCGTCTGGCTGGCAAGAAGCGGAGAGCGGGCGACGACGACGAGGAAGACGAGGATGAGGAGGGCATCGAGATGTTGCGGGATTTGGTCGATGGCGACGAGGCGGAAGAGGATGAGGAGGACTTCGACGACGAGATGGACGGGTCCGTGGATGGCGAGGGCGAGTCGATGTCACTCGACGCCGAGGACGACGAAGAGGCGGAGGACGGCGAGGGACTGGATGAGGAGGAGGAGGAAGGCAGCGCGGACGGCGAGGAAGAAGACGATATCCTGGAGGACGAGCAGACCATGCAGCGCTTCAAGTCGGAGCTATTTGACGATGAGGAGCCTGAAGACGATAAGAGTGCGTTCCGCGGTTCCTTCTTCGCGCCTCTCGGTCGCTGACCTTCTGTCGCCCTTGCAGCCAAGAACATGTCCCGCCACGAACGCCGCCTCCTCCAGCTCTCGTCGCAAATCGCCGCGCTCGAGCAGGAGAACGTCGGCCCGAAAGACTGGACGCTCATCGGCGAGGCGCAGTCGAAGCAGCGGCCCGTCAACTCGCTTCTCGACGAGGACCTCGAGTTTGAGCGGATGGGCAAGGTCGCGCCGGTCATCACGGAGGAGACGACCAAGTCCATCGAGGACCTGATCAAGAAGCGCATCTTGGACAACCAGTTTGACGATGTCGAGCGCCGGGTCGCCGTCGACCCGAACCAGTTCCTCCCGAGCCGGTTCATGGAGTTGCAGGACACGAAGAGCCAGAAGTCGCTCGCAGAAGTGTACGAGGATGAATTCAGGGAGAAGCGCGACAAGGACGAGGGCAGGGAGGTCGTGCACGAGCTCGACAAGGACCTCCAGAAGCGGCACGACGAGATCGAGGCGCTCTTCGAGGACTTGGCGGCCCGGCTCGATGCGCTCAGCAACGCCCGCTTCACTCCCAAGGCTGTGCGTTGCCTCTCAGCCTTCGTCATGTGCGCACTCACTGACCAGCATCGTCGCTCGCAGCCCAAGGCCGCGATCACGACCGTAACGAATCTGCCGTCCATCTCTGTCGAATCCGCCCTTCCGACCGCCTTTTCCACCACGACTCTTCTCGCGCCCGAGGAGATCTACTCCGCCAAGGGCGCCCAGTCCGCTCTCGCCATCGACGCCGCTGACCTCACGCCCGCGCAAAAGAAGGCGCAGCGACAGAAGCAGCGCAAGGACCGCAAGGCCGTCGCCGAGAAGACGGAGCGGATCCTCGCTTCGCAACGGCGGAAGAAGGGCGCGAGGGGCGAGAAGGAGGCTGCAGAGGAAAAGCTGTTGGGCACGAGGGGTGTCACGGTTATTGGAAAGGGAGGGGCGGAGAAGAAGGCTGCGGGCAAGAAGCGGAAGAGGGGGGATGCGGATGGTCTTGGCGGATCAGGCGCGCAGAGCAGCGTCGGGCTCAAGCTGTAGAGGCTGGACCTGCACAATCATGCATTTTTCACGCAGCCAAGACCGGGCCAGAGATGCTTGAAGGCGAGACAGGCTCGAAAGGGTATATAACAACGATGCGATATGCTGTGAACGACTACGGGTACACCCTTCACATCTTGAGCAGAATCGGCATGCCCTTGCCGTCCTTCGGGTGCAGGAGGACGAGATCCTCGTTGATCCGCACGCCTACTCGCAGGAACCCCTTGTCGTCCGTGACCGCCACGAGACCCGCCTCCTCTGCTCGCTTCTTCGCTTCCGCCGTGCTCTTGATCTCGACGCCAGCGAGCTGCCCTGCGCCGTCGGGGAGGTTGTAGACCCGCTGGAGGGGACCTCGCGGGCCTTCCTGGAATTGCCCTTGGGCAATCATGGACGAGATGAGCGCTGCTGCGTTCTGCTCTTCGGGTGCGATAGTTGGCGTGGAAGTCGATACGGTGGCTGAAGAGGGTGAAGCGATGGAGGGAGGGAAGAGGGGAGGAAGTGTCGCTGTCGGAGGTGGTGCGGCGGTGGTGCTGTCGCCTTTTCGTCCCAGGTAGTCCAAGTCATCATCTGCCTCCGGGTACTCCTCGTGCGCCGGCAGGTCCTCGTCTGGCTCCTTGCCGTCCTCCGAGTCTGCCTCATCCGAATGGTGCCCGTCCACGCCGCCCAGCGTCGATCGTCGCCGTGCCTTTGCCGCCTTCCTCTGTTGCCTCTTTTTCCGGTTGCGAGACAGTCGCGCCTCTTCAGATGGTGCAGCGGCGGTGGGTGAGGCAGGCTCAGCAGTCGGATGCGGTGGTGAGGCGGAACGAGGTGTGGACGGCGCAGACGCTAATTCCGGCTCTGGCGCGGGTCTCGACGTCCATCCAAACAGTCGAGCGAGCATTCTGTCGAGTCTCTGCCGTGCTTCGTGCGGTGGTCGGCGGGTTGAGACTGGAAGGTGATGAGGTGAGAGAGGTCGAGGAGAGGGGATGGGAGGGCCGCGAGCCGGGTCGAAGAATGGCTTAACTGCTCTGAACGAAGTCTCTGGTGGCTTGCTTAGTCGCCCAGCCTGCCTCGAGAACTGGGAGCGCGTGAGCAGCGAATGGTCTTTGAGCAAGAAGTGCGCCGGGCGAGTTGGCCTCTTCCTCACCGCCCGCATCGCTGAACAAGCTGTTGCTGCTGCTCAGGCGCGCTACAACACGCTCAGCGTTCGCCTGCTTGCGCGCCAGCCCGCTCGCTTGCCGCGCCATGTCAGACTCGGCCCCCCTCCCTCTCTCAACTGATCAGGCCACTGCTCCTGTGTCTACGAGCGAAGTTGCCGCGAATGGCGCTGCGCCGACCCCAGAAGCGTTGACCGCTCCCTCGGCCGACGCTCAACCCGCAGCCTCGACTTCGACCTCTACCCTGCCTCCCGGCATGACGAAAACCGCCCTCAAACGCCAACGGAAACAGGAGGCGTTCCAGGCTAAGAAACTTGTAAAGCGGCAGCAGGAAAAAGAGCGGAAGAAGGCAAAGGCGGCAGAGATCAAGCGGCTTGTCGCGGAGGGCGTGATGGAAAAACCCGAGTCGAAGAAGCGGAAGAAGGCAGGCGGAGGGCCGCATGGCGCCAGGATTGTCATTGATATGGGCTTTGACGAGCTGATGACGGAGAAGGTGCGTTCAGGCTGGTCGCGCGATTAGCGTCGCGAGGTCACAAGCTGACATTCGCCTTCTCCTCGCTTGCCATGATTGGTTGCGCAGGAGGTCAAGTCGATGGCTTCTCAGCTCGCCTACTGCTACTCCGCCAATCGCGCATCGTCACGACCCTTCCCCATCCTCGTCACCTCCTTCAACGGCAGGTTGCGAGAAGGGTACGATAAGCGCGGCGACTTCAAGAGCTGGAAGGGCGTCGAGTGGTGGGACGACGGCGTTGAGAAGCTCTGGGATGGTGTCAAGGAGGCTGAGCAGGCGGAGACAGCGGCAGAGACGGCCACCTCTGCGGGCGACGCGAGCTCAGCAGAAGCCCCAGTCGCTTCCACCTCCTCCGCCCCGCTCAACACCCTCGGCGTTCTCTCCGGTCAGCCCTGCACCCGCGTCCCCCGATCAACTGTCACCTACCTGACCGGCGACTCACCCAACGTCCTCACCTCGCTCACTCCCGGCCACACCTACATCCTCGGCGGAATCGTCGACCGGAACCGGTACAAGAACCTCTGTCTCAACAAGGCCAACTCGCTGGGGATCGCGCATGCCCAGCTGCCGATTGGCGAGTACCTGCCCGAGATGCAGACGAGGAAGGTCCTCACCGTCAACCAGGTTTTCGAGATCCTTGTGAACTGGGTGGAAGCGGGCGAGAAAGATGGGAAGGAAGGGTGGGGAGAGGCGCTGAGGAAGGTCATGCCCGAGCGGAAGTTTGATCCGGATGCGAGGAAGAAGCGTAGGGAGGCGAGGAGAAACGCCGGTGAGACGGTCAGCGCGAGCGAGGACGAGGCGGAGGACGAGCAGGCGAGCGGGGAGGTCTATGTTGCGGAGGATGAAGACGGGGACGCGCAGATGGTTGTGGAGCAGGTGGAGGAGGCGAGGGGTGAAGCGGAAGTTGCGGAGGAGTCCAAGGAGGCCGAGGCGGTCGCCTCTAGCGTCGACGCGAAGTAGGTGCAGGGCTAGAGCGTTCAGATGCAATCATCGAGGTATCCCCTTACGCTTCGGACGCAGCGAGCGTGAGTGACATGGCGGACCGAGAAGGTTACGATGTTCCGCCTGTTCAAACAGCGGAAGGTGAGCAACGTGCAGGGCAAAAGCTACAAGAACAGCGATAAGGTACGGCACAACGAGAGCGGCGGTGATTCTATCGCTTCTACCCCATCGAATCCTCTCCTCCTTCACCACCTCCTCCCCCTCGTCTCCCCAACCCGCCCATACTGATCCACCCACTGCTCCTTTGTGTACGCCTCACACTGGTGCACGAAGAAGCGAGTCATCTCGGCGTTCAAGTTGTCTAGGCTGATCCGCTTCGTCGTTTGGAGGGAGTAGTGGTCCGTGTGCTCGTGGAGGATGGTCAGAGAGGGCGGAAGTGCCGTTCCTGCGTCACCATGGAGGAGTGTCAGTCTATGAGAGGGCCAAGGAGGGAAAGGAGGGGAGCGCACCTCGCGGAATGAGGGAAATGACGGTTCGAGGATGGTTGAAGCCCTCGACGATGCGTCGCATCATCCTCCCGTCAGGCCTGAGGGAACGCTCCGTTCGGTCCTGCATTCCTTCTCGTCAGCTCCGTCCAGCCGGAAAGAGGAACGAGCCGACCCACGCTCCCAAACCTCGCTCAGAATTGGCTCAACCCATCCTTCCTCACTAACCATCAAATCCCAAGTCTTCCGTCCTTCGCGTAGCCGCTCATCGAGCGGTCGAAGACGGACTTCGTGGCCTACTTGTACGCGGAAGAGGTCGAGCGGGAGAGGGGTGAGGGAACGGCGAGAGGAGAGGGGTGTTGTACCGGCGGGCAGGGTTTGGGTGGGGCGGAGGAGCGAAGGAGGGTGTTGAATAGGTTCTTGTGCGCCTAGAGAGGCGTGCAGGTAGGCGCGCGAACATGGCGACGGAAAGGAAGAAGGCGAAGAAGCGGAGGTGTTCTTCGCGAGTGGGCAAGTATGCATGTACAGGCTCTCGTGAGCAGAAGAGACGCTGCTTCTGGACAGCGCAAGCGCGCGACATTGCTGGAATTGATTCGTTACGAAGTAAGAAGCTAGACAACCCGAGAACCTACACAAGAAGATAGAGGAGACCGTGACGATAGAACGAGGGAGTGGTACAAAACGAGCGTGAGAGTCGAGCGAGTGTGGTGTGAGAACGTGAGAGAGCGAGCGTGAGAGGATGAGAGTCCATACGAAACCGCAAAGTCAAAGAAAGTCCATCCTGCCTACCGCCTCTCCGGCGCAAGGTACGCCAACCCCTCGTCCAGTCCACCATACGCATCCACCTCCCCTTCACCTCCAAACCTGCCGTGCTGCTCCTCATCCTCATTCACGACCCTCAACGGACTCGACCGCTGCTGCTGCTGCGTTGGCTCATCGAGGTGCTGGATCGAGCGGTACGAGGGAGCAGGGGACGGGGCGACGCCCGGTACGAGCGAGGCGGGCGGAGCGAGGTCTCGCTGCTGCTGAGGGGTTGGGGCGGGAGCGTAGTCGATCGCACCGGGGTAAGGGAGCGAGGCGTGTTGAGGCGGGTACGAAGGAGCTGCGCTGCCGTACATAGTCGGGTACGAAGGCGCGCCAGGAGGGGGAGAAGTTGAAGAGGGGTACTGCATGTATCCCCCAGGCTGGCCGTACGCTTGTCCTTGACCCTGGCCGTACATCGAGGGGTAGGCGCCGACACCCGCTGTGTTGTGCTGCGGAGGGGGAGACATGGCGTATCCTTGCTGAGGAGGAGGCGGGGAAGGCGAGTTGGCGAATCCTCCAGGAGGGGGCGACATCGCTCCTCCTCCGTACGAGTCGCGCTCGACCGGGATCTCCGGCAGCTGCGGCGCCTGCTGCTGCTCGTAATGGTGGCGATCGTACATCGACGCCGCGCCAAGCGCTCCCACGCCCGCCGCGCCCGTCCCAACACTCGCCATCGTCATCCCGTCATCCTGCCTCGCTCCCTGCGCCTGATAGTACGGCACATGGGCATAATACGCGTCCTGTTCCGCCGCCGGCGCAACCTTTCGCTTAACGCGCTGCGGCGACCCATCAGTCGGCAAAGGCGCGTAGGAAGCGAACCCATCCTTCTCGCCTTCTCCACTCGAGTCGCGCGAACGGGACCGCTCGTGCGTCGCGGCGTACCCGAGCGCGCCGGCTCCTGCGCCTGCTTCGGCGTACTTGCTGTGCCGCGGGTGCGCGCCGTGCCGAGAGAGCCTGTTTGAGCGGCCGGCAGCCAAGGCGCCTGCGCCTGCCGCTGCTGCTGCGCCCGCTCCTCCGAGCGCAGGGTCCCAGTGCTCGTCCCTCGCGAACGGGTCATACTCGTCCTTCTCGTGCCTGCCGCCCTTTTTGGCGAACCACCATCCGAGGAGACCGAGGGCGATGAGGGCTGCGGCACCGCCCACTGCGCCGCCGACGATAGCGCCGATGTGCGATGTGCCGCCGGATGAGGAGGTTGGGGAGCCGGCGAGGGCGGTGGCGGATGAGGAGGAGGAGGAAAGAGAGGAGGAGGAGAAGGGAACCGTGACGGTCGTGAGGCGGGTCGAGGAGGGAGGGGGAGTTGTCGTCGTGGACGAGCTTGTGGAGGTGGTGCTAGACGACGAAAGAGTTGGCATCGTGGTCGTCGTGGTTGTGCTCGACGACGTGGTCGAGGAGGAAGAAGGGGTCGGGCATATCGTGGTGTAGAGGATCGAGAGCGGCGACGACGTAACGATGGTTTGGGTCGCAAAGCCTGCTAGCTCGGACGTTGCGGTGCTGTTGTCGAGTTGCGAGAGTCCCGGCGAGGTCAGCCTTTGAGCAACCGGCAATTCCGGCAGGGGAGGAGGACGCACAGAGTCTCCTCGCCGCGCAAGCGGAAGACGGTCTCTGTGAGCTGTCCCCTGATGGTCCCAATGTAAGTCGAGAGCGATACCTGCGCATGCGAGTGGTCAGCGAGCGCTCACTCGAAGGAGGAGGACCGGACGCACGACGGGGCGGACGGTGAGGTAGGTGGCAGTTGCGGTGACGGAGGGCACGCGGCTGAGGACGGTCTGCGTCGCGTAGACGGTGGACGTCGCGCTGGTGATGCAGCGGTCTGCCATTTGCGATCAGCCGAGGCGGGTCGAGTGTATGGGTCCGGGGGTTCAGTGAAAGCGAGCGAGTGAGCTGGAGGGTGTGCGCGGGCGGTTCGAGCGAGTGGACGGGATGCAAGGAGTGTAGGAGTGAGCCTGCGTGGGCTAATGGGGCGGCTGGTCCCTCCCCTGCCTCGAGTGAGCGGGTGGGCTGAGCAGGCGAGCGAGATGGCGGGGTGGTCGCGTCTGTTCGCGAGCAGTGGGCTGAGCGACAAAGTGTGTGGCGCCTAGCAAGCCCTCACGCTTAGCTGGACTCGCTCACACACACAGCAGAGCACAAGGAGCGCACAGGCAGAGCGCAACAGCTGCCACCCTCATTCTGAGAAGGCCATTTTGAGGGTTCCCTCTGTTTTTCTCACGCCGACGACCCTGTGCAGCGTCTTCGGGATTTGCTATGCACTCACAGTGGGCATCTGGGCACACTCCACACGCCCGCCTTCGTCCCAGCGCTCGAGGGCGCCTCCTCGTCCTCCTCGCTCCGCGGACTGTCCGGACGCCGCTTGCTTGGCTCAGGCGCTCAGATGGGACGCTTCTTCACTCCTGCTGAAGGCATTGACTACATGCCACGATGACCCGCCACAGCCGGCTGTCCTCCTCCTCGGACGGTGGCTCAGACTGGTCCTCCTCCGCAGACGACGACGACGAGCCCGCTCCTCCTCCCGCTCAGAAATCGCATGGACTAGGCGCTTGGATTTTGCTGATGCTGGGCGTATGTGCGGTAGTGGGAACTGCGCTGCTCGTCGTGTTCCTACAGCGCAAGGACGGAGGAGGAACGGCTGAGGCGAGTACGAGTGCGACGTTGGTACCGACGCAGGAGGCTGCCGCGACCGCACCGGCGATGTTGTCGACCGACAGTCCGGACAAGTACGAGTCGCCGCCGATCATCGATCAAGGCGACGACGAAGCGACGACGACGCCAACTCGGAACCGACACACCAGCTCGTCGACGTTTGGGCCATCCGCGCCCACTGGTGCTGCCTCGACAAACTCCTCCTCTACATCTAGCAGCGGCAACCTCCCCCCTCTCGTCGGCTCGCAACTCCTCGTCGACTTTAGCACCTTTGCCCCCTCTTCCTCCGTCTCCTCCTTCCTCACCTCGCACAACCTCGAGATCTCCACCGACCCAATCGGTTCAACACCCATCTCTCACACGTTCCTCGCTTCCAACGTGGATATCGTCGATGGAGCGTTGAGGTTGAAAGTTACGGGACAGTCGGGGAAGGGAGATATCAAGAGCGCGGAGGTTTCGACCAAGGAGAAGGGGATCTTATATGGAAGGGTGACGACAAGGGCGAAGGCGAGTCCCGTTCCGGGCGTTTGGTACGTACTCTCTTCCCTCCGATTCCTTCGCCTGCGAAGGCTGATCTGTCGTCGACGTGGGCTGCGACACATACAGCCACGGTTTCTTCTTGTACGCAACGGACAATCTCGAAGTAGACATCGAGTTGCTCTCCTCATACTATACCCAGGGTCGGGGGGACTCAGTCAAGCCCGGTTCGTCCCGTACTCCTCCCTCCCTCTCCTGCCCGCTCTCTTCTGGCTGACTGAAGTGCGAGGGCAACAGGCCTGCAAATGACGAACCAAGCGCTAACGAAAGGCGGCAAAGCGAGCAACGTCGTCGTTCCCTACCCCTCTGACCCAACCGGTGCCTTTCACGACGTGCGTCCCCCTCCCTCCCGCTCCTCCCATCCTTCTTCATTTTTGACAGAGTTTGAGTGGATGCAGTACACGATCGAATGGACTAAATCCGCTACGATCTTTTCCTTCGACGGAAAAGAAGTCGGACGGCTAACGACCAACGTCCCTCCCTCACCAATGGCGTTCATTTGGAACAAGTTGCGTCCCCTCTTCCTCTCTCTCTTGACGAAGCTGATGAGTTGGTTACGTGGACGAGCAGCTGGTCTTCGGGCGAACCGAATTGGAGCGCGGGTCCGCCGACTGAGGATTCGTATTTGTTGATTAGTGCGGTGGCGGGCAACTGGACGACTGGATAGAGCGCGGTGGGGAGCAATGTACCGCTGTATGGCATGAGCAGCGAGAGAAGAACGAGGAAGAGGGCGGCAACGAGGGCGAGGAGAGGAAACGAGCTGGTCGGTTCCAGCTTTCGCTTTCAGCACGAGTAAGCTCGAGCGACGTCGCGGAAACACGTATGAGGCGTTGTAGGCTTGCAGAAGAGTCGTGAAGAAGATTTGATGGAGAGGCTGGGGGAGAAGGAAGAGGCGAGGTCCCGTCGGGCGAGTCTGCGGGAGAAGAGCCGAGGTCAGCTCCACGCCTACCCGCGCACGGCATCGAAAGGACGCACAGCTTGACGAGAAGGGTGCAGAGAGAGAGAGAGATCACTTTTTGCAGCCGCAGTTGGATCCGCAGGTGCATGTCGAGTTCTGCCGAGAGCAAGGAGGGGAGGTCAGCCGCCGGCGACACTTGCTGGGCGGGAGGGCGAGAGTGGACGCACTCCGGTGCAAGAGCAGCCCATCTTGATCGTCTTTTGGCTTTGAACTCGAGGTGGATCGAGCGAGTGAGGGAGAGGAAGGAGAGAAGCGAGCGAGTCGACTCGGCTTTTTGTACCGTGCGAGGTCAAAGCGTTTCCTCGTGACTTGGCTAGCGTAGGGCGGTGCAGTCGAGCCAGCGCTGGGGGGTCATGGCGGGCGATAAGCGGGAGGGAGGGAAGAGCCGGACGAGGGAGCAGGGGGAGTGGAAAGTACAAGGCCCATTGAGCGGTTCCGCGACGTGGCTATCATCCTGTCAGCCCCGTGTACCTCCCTACGCATCGCAACTGCCCGTCTGGCGGCCGTGAGAACAGCGAGATGGGCCAGCGGGAGGGCGTGGGAGAACGAGCAGGGCTGCGGGCGTCGTTCGAGCGGGTGCGTCGGGGTCATTCGATGCTGCAAAGCACATGAGAGCACCGACAGATCCCAGCGAGCTGTGTGTCGAGCTGGAGAAGGGAGCAGGCCTCGTCGCGTCGTCCCTTCCTCCTCGACCTGCTCTGTCCCCGCTCGACACCTCGCCCACCGTCACGCACGCCAGCGTACGTGTCAAACAGCAGCCAGAACTGACCAGGCGACCCAGCTGACCCGCGCACCGCTTTCACCGCGCGCTCAAACCCCTTCCTCGACCACTCGCCCTCGACGCGGCCATCCTCCAGCTCAACCATGCGGTGCGTGCACTGGGCGAGCTCGTAGACACTCAAACACGCTGACACGACACCCACAATGAGCAGGGAAATCGTTCACTTGCAGACCGGACAGGTGCGGCGCCCTCTCCTTCTCCTCCCTCGCCCCAAGTTGGCCGACCATCTCGCGGCCCTCGGCCTCCGCTGCGTGGACTGAAGCTGACTCGTTGCCTGCGAACAGTGCGGTAACCAAATGTGCGCTTCGTGGCTTCCCTGCGGTTGTGGGTAGCGAGCGAGCGCTGGGCTGGTGGGGTCGGAGGAGGAGCGTGTCCTGGAAGGCACAACGGGAGCTGGATCGCTGACCTTGCCATCTTGCGACGTGTCTCTTCAGCGGTACCGCATTCTGGGAGGTGCGTCGTACCTTGCGACGAGCGCGTGCGGCTGCGAGATGCTGATCCCCGTTCTTCTTTGTCCCGTACAGACTGTCACCGAGGAGCACGGTGCGTCCCGCGTCGTCCGAGTGTCTACAGGACTGCTAGCTGACCATTCGTATCCCTCGCGAAGGCCTCGGCCCCGATGGCGTGTGAGTTCTGCCTTCCTTCTCCTCGACCGCATCGTACTGACTCTCGTTCCTCGCAGCTACCACGGCGACAACGACCTCCAGCTCGAGCGGATGCAGGTCTACTTCAACGAGGCCGCCGCGAACAAGTACGTCCCGCGCGCGGTCCTTGTCGACCTCGAGCCGGGCACGCTCGACGTGAGTCTCTGTCCTCCCCTCCACGCTTCTAGCTCGCCAGCTGATGCGGAAACGTCCCACAGGTCATCCGCTCGTCGCCTATGGGAGAGCTGTTCCGCCCGGACAACATGGTGGCCGCGCAGAGGTGCGTTACCCTTCCGCCTTTTCCCTGCCTTCTCCTGGGCTTTTCCCGGGCTTCTCCTGGACCCTGACTGACGCATTCTGGGCGCGAAATCAGCTCGGCGGGCAACAACTGGGCGAATAAGTACCGTCCGGACGTATTTCGGGGTTCCCAGGCTTATTTCTCCGTTCGCACAGGGTCACTACACGGAGGGCGCTGAGCTTGTCGACCAGGTGATGGACGTCGTGCGCAAGGAGGCCGAGAACTGCGACTGCCTGCAGGGCTTCCAGCTCACGCACTCGCTCGGAGGCGGCACGGGTTCGGGTATGGGAACGCTCCTCATCTCCAAGATCCGCGAGGAGTACCCCGACCGCATGATGGCTACCTTCTCGGTCGTCCCCTCGCCCAAGGTCTCGGACACTGTCGTCGAGCCGTACAACGCGACGCTCTCGGTCCACCAGCTCGTCGAGAACTCGGACTTGACGTTCTGCATCGACAACGAGGCCCTCTGTGCGCGGGCCTACTCCTCCTCGTCAGTCAAGACCCGAACTGACCTTGCACACCGGCAGACGACATCTGCTTCCGCACGCTCAAGCTCAGCGTCCCGACCTACGGCGACCTCAACCACCTCGTCTCGGTCGTCATGAGCGGTGTCACGACCTGCCTCCGCTTCCCGGGCCAGCTCAACTCTGACCTGCGCAAGCTCGCCGTCAACATGGTTCCCTTCCCGCGTCTCCACTTCTTCATGGTCGGCTACGCGCCCCTCACCGCGCCCGGCTCGAAGAACTTCCGCGCCGTCTCGGTCCCCGAGTTGACCCAGCAGATGTTTGACGCCAAGAATATGATGGCTGCAAGCGATCCGCGCCATGGTCGCTACCTCACCGTCGCTGCGTACTGGCGCGGGAAGGTCTCGATGCGCGAGGTCGACGACAGCATGCTCCAGGTCCAGACTCGCAACGCCGACCACTTTGTCGGTGCGTCGCGCTCGCCATCCTTTGCGCTGTTCCTCTCGCTAACGAGTGCGCGCACAGAGTGGATCCCCAACAATGTCCAGACCGCCCACTGCGACGTCGCGCCCAAGGACAGCAAGATGGCCGTCACCTTCATCGGCAACTCGACCGCGATCCAGGTCCGTCTCCTCCTCCTGCCTCTCTTCCTCGCTATACTGACGACTCGACACGTCTGTAGGAGCTCTTCTCGCGCGTCCACACCCAGTTCTCGGCCATGTACCGCCGCCGCGCCTACTTGCACTGGTACACCGGCGAGGGTATGGACGAGATGGAGTGCGTTCCGGAGTCTTCCTCGTCTTCCCGCTCACTCTCTGACGCTCTCATGAGATGTGCAGGTTCACCGAGGCCGAGTCGAACATGCAGGTGCGTCGGAATCATCGAACTTGCTCCAGGACGGCCGCTGATCCTTCTTCCTTTTGCAGGACCTCGTTGCGGAGTACCAGCAGTACTCAGAGGCGGGCATTGAAGAGTGAGTCTATGGATGTCCCTCTACGCCGAGTCCTGCCTCCGCAGCGGTGGTGGAACTTGCGCGCAGCGGTGGTGGAACTTGCGGAAGATTTGAACCCGATACTGACCTTCGCCTCGCTTCCGCAGCGAGTACGGTGAGGAGGAGTACGCTGCTGAGGGTGAATACGCCGAGGGCGGCGAGTACGCCGAGGAGCAGTAAGAAGCGGAAAAAAGGAGCGCCTCGTCTCGCTTGCTTTCGTTCTTTCCCCCGCTCCGCCCCCACCATTCGCCGTCGTTCTTCTCTCCACTCCGTCTCCTTCGTTTAATTCTTCGTTCTCGCATCAAGGCTCACGATTCTCTCAGCTTCGGCACATGTTGCGAGCGAGAGACCAGAAGAGAGGGCGAAACGAAGGCTTGCGTTCAAGCGCGGAGAGATGGCTGCCGCCCGGCTACCCAACCATACTCCGCTTCCTCCCACGCATACGCACCTCCTCCAACCGCTTCTCAACGCGCTCCCACTCGCCCTTCTTGCCCCTCTGCAACGCCTCGCGGTACCCCTCCAGGACGACCTCAAAATGCGCGATGCCGCCTGGCTGGACGGGGTGGGTCGAGGAGAACGCGCGCTCGAGGACGTAGAGGTCGACAGCGCGGTCTTCGTGCATTGGGGAGGTGGAGGAGAGGCCAAAGTCGATCAGGACCTGCTCGGGGAAGATTTGCAAGTCAGTGCAGGGAAAGCGAGGCGAGCGACTGTCACGCACCAGCTCGAAGCGTTGTGGAGCGTTTGTGAGCCGGACCATCATGTTCGAGGTCGTCAGGTCGCCGTGGATGATGTCCGCGAGGTGCATCTTGCCAATCTCGCGGCCGATGGCTCGCAGCATCGAGTCTGACCGACGACAAAGGTCAGCATCAGGCTCTTCTCTCATCCTTTTTACGGTGAAGAACGCACCCTCGTCGATTCCCGCTTCTCGAAGGACATCTTCAGGAGACCCGAGAGACTCGTCCGCAATGACCTCTTCCTCCGCGTCCTCCGCAACGTCGTCCTGCCCTCCTCCCAGGATCTCCCGCACGCTCCAGCCATCGATCCACTCCATCCCGAGACACCCCTGCTTGACATCCACAAGCCGCAAGCCAGGAACCGTCACTCCAGCCTTCATGCACCGCACCAACGCCCGCGCTTCGGAGATTAACCGCTGTCGCGTTAGTTGCGCGTCGAGGGTAGGGTGTCGGTAGCGTTTCGGGAAGCGGTATTTGAGGAGGATGGGCACGGGAGGAGGGGGAGTCGGTTCGGCAGAGACAGCGGCGCTCGTTGAGCGGATCATAGCGGGCGAGGGGAGCAGTGTGGATTTGTAGACTTTCTGTGGGCGCGTCCAAACAGTCAGCTCTGCTCTCAGCGGAGCTGGCGAGCATACGCACTCCTTCAGCTCCTTGCTTGATGAGATGAGAGCGGGAGATGAGATCGTGGACTGGCGCGCCGAGTTGGGTGGCTTCTACTGCAGCCTTGACGTCCTTGTGCAAGTTCGGCATGGCAGGCAAGCAGATCTAGCGAGAGCGAGTGAAGTTGATGAGGAAGAGCGAGAGAGAGACGAAGCTTGTCCTCGACCGCACGAGCTGCAACGGCCAGTCTGGCTGTGCTGGGCCGTAGAGTGAAGCTACAGAGCTGCTTGAGCCGGTCCAGCCTCCCGCCAAACGCCCGACGCCGTCCACCTCCTCCCACTTCCTCTCCTCGATGGGCAACCCGACCTCGACAGCCGAGACGCGGGCCAAGGCGGGAAAGGCGGGAAAGGTGGGCAAGGGTGAGAAAGGGACGTCACGGAAGGAAATCCCACCGCCATCAGGCGCCTTTGCGCTGCCGCCGCCCAAACCCGAGTACTTCGAGGAGAACGGCCTGCGAAAGGTCAAGCCTTACATGCGCGTCGTTTCTCGCTGGTACTGCGACCTGTCTTACACTCTCTGGCTCGCAGGTTCGCCTTCCAGAGCTTCGCGAAGGAGCGATGGCAGGGCCGAACGGTTCTCGACATGTGAGCCTCTCCCCTTGCTCTCCTCGCCTCACGAATAGCTGACATACCACATTCGACTCGACAGCTACAGTGAATTCAGGTCCGCCACCGTCTTGCAGCCTTGCGCCTTGCTGATCGAACGCTGACCGACGCAGAGAGCTGGATTAGGGATCGCACGATAGAATATTACGTGCGTCTGCGTCCTCTCCTGCTTCTTGCGATCTCTCCTAACCATATTTTTGACCGCTCTGCAGCAATGGGCGATCGAGACTGGTGCGGAACAGCGCTTACGTTTGCGCTCTTCCGCAGCTGCTGATCCCTCTCGTTTCCTTCGCAGGCGTCATCGTCGTCAACAACCAGAAGACGACTCCCGACTACGTTTTGCGGAATGGAGACCTTATCTCGAACGTCCTGCATCGGTGCGCTGCCTGGGTCAAGCTGCGAAGTGCGGAAGGCTGACTTTCGCCGGAACAGACACGAGCCGCCTGTCGTTGCTGGCCCGATCAGGATCATCTATGACGGTCGGCTACCAGGGAACGATGGGGAGACGCTGGTAGTGGAGAAGCCTGGGTCGATGCCGGTGAGCCTGGTTGGCCTGAGCGGACGGGCACGGATCCGACGTTTGTATTACGCAGGTCCACCCAACCGGTCGCTACAACTTCAACACCCTTCTTGAGATCCTCAAATACGACTACGGTCTGCCGCTCGTGCACAGTGCGTGTACTCTTTGCCTATTCCTTCCCTCCAAACTGACTCGTCCACGTCTCCAGCCTCGAACCGCCTCGACCGCCTGACATCCGGCGTGATGGTCTGCGCTCTCACTGCTGAGGCGTCGAAGAAGCTCGGTGCTTGGTTCGGTGGGCGACGGAATCACGAAGGTGGGGTGAGCAAGGAATACGTTGCGCGGTGTTTGGGAAAGCTCCCCGAGTGCGTCGACTCTTGCGCTCTTCTCAGCGAAGGACGGGTTGCTGAGTCGTTATGTGTGTTAAAGTGGCGAGATCTTGTGCAAGGAGCCGCTATTGACGATCGACCGTCAAATCGGCGTCAATGTTGTTCACCCGGACGGTCGCGTGCGTTCTGCATCTTTCTCCTTCGAGTTCCTCATCCAGCTGATTCTCCTCCGCCGTTATTATCTGCAGGATTCGAAGACGATTTTCCGAAGAATGAGCTACGACGAGCGAAGCAACACGAGCGTCGTGCATTGTGAGCTCACTCTTCCGCTCTCCTGCGCGTTCCAAGCTGATAGAGGTATTGTCGTACAGGTCGCCCCATCACGGGCCGGTCTCACCAGATCCGCGTAAGCCTCGCTGTTCTCCTCCTCCTCCGCGCAGCGAGACTAACCCCCTCCTCCGCTTCTGCACCGCAGGTCCACCTCCAATTCCTCGGCCACCCAATCGCCAACGACCCGGTCTACCAGAACCGCGCCGCATGGGGCGACGAAGGTGGGAAAGGCGGGGTGTTTGGGAAAGACCGCGGCGGGACGGAGGAGGATAGGGAGGAGAGGAGGAGGAGGGGGCAAAGGGTTTTGGCGAGGGAGGTGGAGAGGGTGAAGGAGGATGGCGAGCAGGAGGCGAAGGGCGGAAAAGAGGGTGATGGTGCGTTCTTGCTTTCGCTTGCTCGTGGGAGGCTTGGCCCTGGCCAGTCGCCGCCTCTCACTGCGACTCACCGTAGCATTAACGCGTCAGCTGTCCTGACCTTTGCTTTCAGCAGCACCCGACCCTCCTCGACCGCGCTACAATGCATCCGGCGACCTCCACTCCGACATCGCTCGCGCAAACCGCTCCCAGCCCGACTCTCCAGCCATTGACGACATTGCTTCCGGCTCAATCGCAGCGGAAGAGGCACTGACCGCCGGTGCCAAGCGTGCGATCGCCGCGTTGCGGGAAGTCAAGGACGAAGCGGACGGGTTCGCGCGCGAGCGGGATCTGGAGGCGGTTGAGCGGGCGCGACGGAGCGAGAGGAACTTGATGAGCATTGATGCGGACCCGGAGGTGGTTAGCTCTGCGGCGGAGGAGGATGGAGCGGCGGAACGAGCGGGAGAAGCGGACGGGTTCTGCTCGACTTGCTTCACGCCGCTCCACCCTGATCCGAAGCCTGAGGCGCTGTTCATCTGGTTGCATGCTATGCGGTGTGCGTGCACATCTCCCTGCTCCTTCCCACGCTGTCGCTGACGACGGTCCTCGTTCGCAGACAAAACGATCGACTGGGACTGGTCGAGCGAGCTGCCGTACTGGGCGGAGGAGACGTACGAGGTCCCGCTGTCGTCCATATTGGCGTAGCAGGTCGTGGGCGTCTATGCGACCTGGCTGGCTGGCTGTCGAGCGTTGAGAGGAGGAAAGCTTCGCCTCGTCTTCCGCGCGTCCTCTCTCCGGCTCTCTTAGCGCCCTGGCTTTCTTCTGTAGCTTCACTTTGCTCGCGTTTCGTCTTGCCTAGCTTGCGCCAGCGAGAGCGAGGAGGAGAGACCTGCCGAAGTTTGACCTTCCCAAATCGCCCGTCCGCCTCGACACTCCGTCCTCGTCGCTCGTCCCTCGGTAGGATTACCGCGCAATATCCTGTCGATTACGAACGGCGCCTGAACCGCTGGGCTCGGTCGTCGCAAGGTCGGCTCGGGCGGTGCACTCGATGACCTCACCTTGCCGGTATAGTCCTCGTCGGGTCGCTCGCTCTCTCTCTCCTCTTCCTCCCTCTCCTTTGCACGAGAACACTCAACTTGACACTGTACGTCGCCCTATACACGCCCGCCGCTTCCTCACTGACCTACTGACCTCCCATACCCTCGCACAGCTCACACGACCCACACCCTCACACCATCCGCATCGCCAATCAGCATGTCCTCCTACGACAAAGACCCCCAGCGCCTCGACTCCGAGTCCGCGACGCAGAAGGACCCGGTCGGCGCATCGCACGGTACCGTCGACAACCTCAACGACCAGGTGCGTCTCCCCTTTCCCTCTCTCTCCCAAAAACGCGTGCTGATCAAGTGGGCGAATGCAGTACTTCCGCAACCCGCCTAACAACCTCGGCTTGGACAACCCTGCTGAGCAGGACCGGGCGAGCGACTTGGTTGGCGCGCAGAACACGGAGGTGCGTCCGCTCGCTCGCTCTCTCCCTCTTCCTCGCCAACAGCGGGGGAGCTTGGAGTGCTGTTGGGCAGTATTCGTTGACGCTCTCTCCCTTACGCAGCCCATCGCCGACCCTCCCTCAAAGGAAGAGCTCAAGCGCGTCCAGGAACTCGCCGACCGCTTGAACAAGTAGACGCCCTCGCCGTTGTCTCCGCATCGACAAACAGCATTTCACGAACTTGTAGCATACGACGTCGCATCGCGCAAATGAAAGAATGGTAGTACCACGCATTGACGAGGCGGGACGAGGAGCAGAGCGGGACGACGGGAACGAAAGGGCAGAGAGGTGCATGCTGTCGCTGCTCTTCCCCGTCGCTTGTGATGCCCTTTGACAGTGCGTGTAGGACGTCGGCCGTACTTGACCAGCCCACTCGTCGCTCGCCATGGGTACGAAGAGGAAGCGGGCGAACCTGCAGGCTTCTCGCTACCCTCCCTTGGTGTCGCTTGCGCCTCTGCAGCTTCGGGCAAAGTGTGTAGCGACAGTGCACGCATACAAGCGTCCATCCAGCGTCGTGGCCGTCGTCCTCAGGGAGACTTCCCGTTCCCGCACTCTCGTGACCTCTCTCTTCCTCCTTCTCTTCACTCTTCTCGCTCTTGCCACTCGCTATCACTCTCCAAAGTCAACAAACAGCCAGCATGGACCGCCCGAGCACGCCAAAGGTCTCCTCACGTCCGTCGACCCCCCATGGACACCGCATCTCGCGCCCCGGCACTCCCGCTCGCGGCTCTCGCCCTGGGACTCCCTCGAGGCTGCAGAAGTGCGTTTTGCCATCTTCTCCAGCCTGGTGCGCTCGCTGACCGTGCTCGTCGCCTCCTCACACGACCTCGTCCCCACCTCTTCATTCACCGTCCCCACCTCTTCGCCTCGTCCCGAAACGACGTCGACGCTCGCTCCAACACGCGCACGACGACAGGGACCCGTCAGCGGCGTGGCTCAAGAACCCGCCCAACAACCTCGAGCTCGAGGACCCGCGCAGCCAGGACAGGGCGTCCGACTTGCTCGGGTCGCGCTACACGGAGCCGGTGCGTCTTGACGGCGGTCTTGCGGGTACGGGCGGGTTCGGAGACTGATGTTTGGAGACGCTGGACACAGGTCAAGGGCCCGCCGAGTGACGAGGAGCTCAAGAAGGCGCGCGACCTCGCCGACATGCTCGAGAAGCGCAAGAGGCAGTAAGACGGCGCTCGCCTGGATCGCCTGGCGTTACTCAAACAGTGTAAATACACTCTAACCAGCTTGCAACGGGACTCGCTTTGATCTGCGAGCGCGAGAGGCGACGGACGCACGACTTGACCTTCGCAAACGCGGAGTCCGCACGTGCGGGCCGCTTGCGCTCGCCTCTTCGTCCTTTCTCCCTCTCTGTCTGCTCGCCGACGCTGCAGGCCCTCCGTCGACACTGCCAAGTCTTCCTCGGTCCGTCGCTCGCTTCCACCGCTCCGCCCAACCCCTCAGGCTCCTCGTATCAATCGACGCTAACTGGCCTTCTCCGCGTGGTTCTGCCGCCCCAACAGCTTCCGAACGTGCTGTCGACGGCTCAGCCGAGCAGGTTCAACGTGCACTCGAGAGTCTTGGCGGCTGTGCCGTTACCGACATCTCTGCCGACTCCTCCTCCTCCTTACTCTCCTCATCTCCTCTTCTTCCTTCCTCATCGCTTCTCCCTTTGTAATCGGCAAAGATGCTTCAGCCCACTCTCCTCGCCGCAGCTACCGTCGCACTCGCCAACATCGTTTCAGCCGACTCTTCCGCCTCGTCCTTCCCCGGTCTCTCAGGACTGCTCAACGCCGCCGAAGCGCAGGCTCACAAGTTCCTCGGCCTCAACGCTTGTCCATCACCTGCTTTCGCACCTGCCAGTTGCGCGAATGGGAAGCCGCCTGCGTTTCCGGGTCTTGATGTGCGTTCTCGCTCTCCACCCTTCGTTTGCGAGCTGTCAAGGCTGACCATGAGCTTTGGAGGCAATATAGCCTTGCTGCACGAACGTACCCGGAGGATATTTCCTTTCGACTCAGTTCTGGGACTCGAACCCGCCGAGTGCGTTCCGGACTTCCCTTCCTCTCGTCGAGGCTGCCTCGTTGACTTGCCTCTGAGCGGCGCGTGGCAGCTGGTCCGAATGACTCGTGGACACTTCACGGTCTCTGGGTAAGTCTGGCTCCCTGCTTCGCCTGAAGATATCGGACTTTGCTCATCGAGGAAACTCGCGAATCTGCTTCAATGGGCGAGTCTCGTCTCCCGCATCGCTGACATGCCTCCTACACACAGCCCGACAATTGCGATGGCACCTTCGACCAATTCTGCGACCCCGCGCGCCAGTACACCAACATTCGCTCAATCCTCGCTCAAAACGCGCCGAAGCAGTTGCTCGACTACATGAATGTGTACTGGAAGGACTACCAGGGGAATGATGAGATCTTTTGGGCGCATGAGTGGGACAAACATGGTGCGTTGGCGACCGCTCGGGACGAGAAGGGGAGAGAAGCTGACAAGGAGGTGCGGGTGACACAGGAACGTGCATCTCGACGCTCAACACGACGTGCTACGGCAAGCACTACAAGCAGTGTACGCGCCTTTGACACAGCGGACCGAGCAGAGACGTTGCTGACGACCTTCGACCGTCGCAGACGAAGAAGTCGTCGACTACTTTGAGCGCGCCGTCGAGCTCTTCCGCTCCCTCCCGACCTACGACTGGCTCGCAGCCGACGGCATCGTACCCTCGACGAACCAGACCTACACTCTCGCTCAGCTCCAAGCGGTCGCGAAGAAACACCATGGCTATGAGGCGATCTGGGGCTGCACGAAGCAGGGCGCTCTCGATGAGGTCTGGTATGGATACATTACGAAGGGTCCTGTCAATGGCGGCAAGTTCATCCCGACGAGCCCTGACGGTTCAAAGTCGTCCTGCCCGGAGTGAGTTTGCCTTCCTCGAGGCTTTTTAGTTCTCCGCTTACCTCGCTTCTTGTGCAGCACCGGCATTCACTACTACCCGAAGGGCTATGTTCCGCCTGCGACGGGTGGCTCTACCGGCGGAAGCGGCAACAGCACCGGCGGCGCCTTCTTCAACGGTTCGCTCCCTTCACCTCGTCTCCCTCAACCTCGCTGACACCCTACCACGCCCGCAGTCTTCGTCAACGGGACGCAAAACGGCTGCCTTATCTCGAAGGGCACCTGGTACACGACCGGAACTTGCGCGACCTACCGCCTCACGCCAGCAGCGAGCGATCTCGCTGCGGGCTTCACCATGACATCGTCGAAGGGACCTTGCGCCGTCTTGAACAATACGCTCTCGTGCGCCACGGGCAACACTGCGAGCACTTTCACTCTCGTGAGTTGCGTGCCTCTTTCGCACGAAAAGCGGTTGCTAACTCTTCCTCCTCGCGCAGGACTCGGACAAGTACCTCTCGTACGCCGGCTCGAGCACCTTCTACGCTCAGGAAGTCGCGGCTGGCTCGGTGCAGGAAGCGGTTCTCACCACGAGCGCGCCTGTTAGCCTCAAGATCCAGTACGCGCCTCAGTAGATCCTCTTTCGCACGAGCGCCTCTCGCTCTTTCGGCTTTGTTTGGATTGTGTAGCTCGGACGTAGGGTATTGCCTGGAATGCAGGCATTGATATTGGCTCTCGGAGTCGTGGCGGGTCTTTCGCTGAGGAGGCGAAAGCCAAGTCGAGGAGAACGTCCGTCTTTTTTGCAAGGTCCCGCTCGAACTCGCCCTCTACAGCCCTCGTTCCACCCTCTTGACGACGTTGGTCCTGCTTGAGATTGCGGATCCGCCTCGCTTGCCGCCGTCGCCGCGCCTCAGTAATATCCGATGTACTTCCTATCGCATCCTCCGCCGTGGTAGCGATGGTGCTGAGGGCGGTAGTAGTGCGGATGGATGCCGAGGGGAGGGTACGAGTACGGGTAGGGCGTGTCGTAGGGATAGCGCGAGTGCGAATGCCTGCGATGCTTGTGGTATATCTTCTTGTGCTGCTCCTCGAGAGCTCCGACGGCGCCTTCCGTAACGAGTTGCCTTCCCTCGACGGCGTTGACGCGAGCGCGGAGGACGCGGATCCTCCAGATGGCGAAGAGGACGACGAGGCAGAGGAGCGGGAAGCAGATCGACGGGACGATGATGGCGGCGAGGCGCTGGCTCCTCGTGAGACCGTCGCAGCCCCTTCCGCGCCAGTACCAGCGATCGCAGTGGTGGCGGTCCGGAAGCGGGCGGACTGTTCGCAGGGAGGAGCGCAAGTTGAGAAGGCCGCTGCTGGAGAGGGAGGGAGGAACGAACAGAGGACGCACAGTAGCCGGTCGACGGGTCGTAGTACGACATCTTGCTCCGCCTCGTGAAACGTCGACGGGGAGAGAAGGAAGAAGAGCGAGAAGAGCACCTCCGGATGGGTCGCATGAAGCCAAGGTGGGTGGGACGGCGCGAGTCGACACAACGTCGAGGTCGCCGCCGGCTGTTTGATACTGTATTTGTGATTGCTTGTGATGGACGTCTAGCATAATAGGCTGGGACAGAGACAGAGGGTATACAAGAAGGGAGGAGAAGAGATCCGACAAGAGGAGGAAAGCGACTTCAGTCTTCGTCCGTCTCGATCATCGACGCGTCGAGGGAGAGAGCGTGAAGAAGGAGGTTGACGTTGCGCTGCGAGCGAAAGCAAGGGTCAGCGAAGTGGAAGGAGGACAGTCGGGGCGAAACTCACGATCTTGAGGGCAGCCTTCTCGGGCGCGCCAGCCGGAGCCTGCGCCGCCTTGACCTTTTCGAGCTGACGCGCAGAGCGGACATTCTCGATGACCTTGTCCCGGACGCCGGTGACGAGAACCTGCTGCTGGTCCGGATCGGCGCAGACGGCGACACTTGCGAGGAAGCGCCAGACCGGCTCGTCGTCCTGGTCGGCCTCGGGTCGGAGAGCCTCGAGCGACTGGTACTGCGCGACGCCGAAGGGAAGCGCGGCGGCGAGGCGAGTCGAAGGGAAGAGCGCCATGAGGTTCGAGCCGGAGGAGAGGACGCCGAAGAGATGGGTGAAGGTGCGATGCCACTGCTGCAAGTCGGCCTGCTCGGGCGCGGGCGTCGCCTGCTTGAGCGACTCGGCGCGCGAGAGGAGGATCGTAAGGAAGGCGAGACCGGGCTTGGACCGGACGACCTTGAGGATGTCGTTGCGGTCCATCAAGAGTCCGAGCATGCCGACGACCATGCGGAGCTGGGCCTGTCCGACGACAGCCATGATGGGCGCGACAATCGAGTTGAGGAGCGCTTCCGTCTTGGTCTCGACGGCGACGCGGCGCTGTCGGCCCGAGGCGGTCGTGTCGAGCTGGTCAAGGACGGGCGCCTCGACGACAACGTCGAGCGTATCGAAGGTGGCGACAAGGAGTGTGAGGAGAGTGAGCGTCTGCTCGGGCGAGAGGTGGCGGATCGCGCGCGGGAGGATGCGCTTGCCCTTCAGGGGCGAGAGGATCGAGATGAACGGGTGAGGCGTGCTAAGAGACCGCAAGCGACAAGTCAGCTTGCGCAGTCTCGTCTTCAGCGGGAAGAGGGCGAACGCACCAAGCATCGAGCGGCTCCATGACGTGCAGGTTGTCCCACAAGCGGTCAACAAGCTCCTTGTACTTGTCCTCAGCCTCCTGGACCGCGCTCTTTGCCTCGTCCCACTTCTCCCTGATCTGCTCCCTGACCTCTCCCTCGACCGTCATCTGCTCGTACTGCGCACGGACGCCCTCGGCAGTCGCGAACAGCGCAGGCTGGATGCGCCTCAACTGCTCGAGGTCAAGCACGCAGTCGTAGATCTTCTCGATGATGGCGAGTGCGTCGCGGTGCGAGAGTGGGCCGGTGATGGGGTTCGGAGCGGAGGCAGCGTCGGACGCGGACGAGGTGGTCGTGATCAGCCCCGCGCCAGCGAGAAGCGACTGGCCCGTCGAGACGCCCGCTCCAGCCTTCTTCTTCCCACCCTGCCCCTGCTGCTTCTCCGCATCTGGCGAGCCAGATCCGTTCCTCGCGCCTTCCGCGCCTTGCTCCTCCGCCACCGTACGCTCCTTGTGCACGCTCGTCGAGCTAGGCTTGACCTGCAGAAGCGGCCTCGGCGCACTCCTCGTCCTCGTCGCGATCTTCCCCAGCGCGCCCTCAAGCGAGAGGGTGTGACCCGCCCCGCCCGAAACTCCGCCCGTCGCGTTGCGCTTCTTGGCACTGTCGACGAGGCGCTGGACGTTCTGCGCCATCCGGTTCATCGCGTTCTCGCGCCGCGTCGGGCGGCGGTTCGCGTTCGAGTTGGTGTTGGGACCTTGAGGCGGGGCGGGTCCGGGACCAGGCAGAGGTCCGCCCACAGAGGCGACGAGAGCTTGCTGCCGCGACGCCTTGATCGCCGCCATGATGTGGAAGTAGAAATCGTCGGCGTACGGGTCGTCGGTGACGAGCTGCGAGACCTGAATGCGAGTGATGAAGTCCTTGTCCGAGTTCGACATGAGGTTGTTGTGCTTGGCCTGCGATACAACAATGCCGTTCATCCATCTCGTCAGCTTCTGCCGTCAGGTAGAGCTGAGACCGAGAGTCGTGAGCAAAGGCAGCGTGACGCACCATACTCGCAATCTTAGCCGCCTTCCTCTTCCTCTTCCCCTCAGCCTCCTCATGCTCCATGATCCTCTGCTCCACCATCCTGACCAACTCATCCGCAGCCTTCTTCTTCTCCTCCTCCTCTCCTCCCTCGCCCCCTCCCTGGGCCTGCGACTGCGCCTGATGCAGAAGCGCTTGAAGCTGCGCGCCCGTGAGAGACGGGTGCTGCGTGTGTTGAGAGAGCGAGAGCATCTGCAGGCCTTGTTCGACTGAAACGGGTCCTTGTGCGCCGGCCGCGGACGGGAGCGGCGGGAAGAGCGTCGCCATCAAGTTGGGTCCGCCCACTCCCGCTGCGGCTGGGACGGGCGAAGTCGCGGTTGCGCCAAGGGGAGGGAAGGCCGGACCAGGCGTTCCAGGACCCTGAGGAGGCCTTCCAAACGCCGGGCTCTGGCTCTGCGCAGGCTGAGGCGGTTGCTGAGGCAACGGAGGCCGGAACGTCCCTGCGGCGACGGCAGCTGCTGCCGCGGCCCTGTGCTGCGCGATGATCTGTTGCTGGATCTGCGGCGGGAGGGAGGTGAAGTTCGGTGGGAGGAGGTGAGCGGGAGGGATGAAGGTGGCGGGGTTGAAAGTCGCGGGATTGAAGGGGAGCTGAGGGGCGGCGGCGAGGGGCGTCTGCTGCTGAGGAGCGAGACCGGGCGGGAGTTGCTGCGTCTGCGGCTGTGCGGGAGGCACGGCAGGAGAAGCGGCGGCGGCGGCGGTACCGCGCCGACGAAGCATCTCCGCTTCGACTTCCTCGAGCGTCATCGGGCGAGTCGAGGTCTGCGCCGGCTGCTGCTGCTGCTGCTGGCGCGCCAAGGCGGCCGCACGCATCTCGGCTTCGACCTCCTCAACCGTCTTGACCTGCCTCGACGGCTGAGGAACCGCCGGAGGAGGCTGGGTGTACGCAGGCTTTCCAGCCGATGAGAGCAACGGGTCGTCGTTCAGGCTCGTCCATGGCGAGCTCGAGAGCGGCTTGGACGACGAGAGGAGCGGGTCGGTCCAGGCTGTCGAGGGCTGCTGGATGGGCTTCGTGGAGGACGGGACTTGGTCGTGGCCGAGGAAACGGGCGGTCGAGCCGGCAAAGTCGAAGTCTCTGCCTGCGAATGCGTCGGTAGGCAGTCAGCAAGGGCTTGGGCGTACAAGGTAGGCGTGTAGTTGGTCGAGGGTATGTATCCGCCTCTTGCGCGAAGAGACCTCGCCAACTCCGTCGAATGATCCGCAATCCCGCTCGCTCCCATCGTTGGAGCTGCAGAAGCGCATGCCAGTAGACTACAGCCACTCATGCTCCGCCCAGTGTCCCCGAGAGCCCACGAGCACTCGTCTCCCCCCCGACGAGAGAACCAGCAAAAGCGCCCACAGCGCTCGATGCAGCCCGCGAGACCCGCAGACTCACCGACAGGTGCCCCGAATGCCTCATCTGCGCCGAACGCCTCGTCATCGCCGCCCTCGAGCGCGCCAAAGGTCTCGTCGTTGAGAGCGTTGGCATCGTCGTCGAGGAGGTGCGCGAGGTCAGACTCTTGATTGCCCAGGTCGTTGAAGGAGTAGACTGCGAGGTCTTCTGCGAGTCCGCCGTCGTACGACATGGCGAGATGCGCCCGTACGAGGGGGAGGGGTGGTGGAGCGGGACGAGGAGGGGACGAGGGAGGGTGCGAGTTGGACTGTGGGCGAGTACGAGTAAGCACGAGTTTAATGAGAGTATCTGGCTGCACTCACCGCGGCAGACGGTGCTCGTCGAGGTCGAACCCGCTCGCCCCTGCTCTCTTGACCTCACCGGCTCATCGCTCGCTCACAAACTCGCTCGAGGGACTCGCTGCTGGTGCTCAGCGTGCTCGCAAGGGTCGATTCAGTCATGGGGAACCGCCGCCGAGTCCCGCTGCTGCTCGCCGCGTCCTCGCTCGTCCTCCTCCTCGGCACTCGCTCAACACTCGCCATTCCCTCTGCATCGCCAGTCGAGTCCTGCCCGTCGACCTACGACGACCCCTACCTCGCATTCCCTCACCAGCCCCGGCACGGCCACGCCTTCGTCCCCTCAGACCCCGGAAACCCCGTCCACCCGCTCCTGCAAGACATCCGTCTCCCCGAGAACCCGACCAACCCTGCGCCACGGCCTGTCACAGCCAAGGACAGGCATCAGCTGTATACGCCCGGACGGAACAACTCGTTCAGGACGGACGAGTTTCGCTTCCAGCCGGGACGACGGGCGAAGAGAGACAAGGATGCCAAGGACGAGCACGGAGGAGTCGACAAGCGCGCCGTCGTCTCGAGCGTAGATGTCCCCTTCCCGCCCTCTGCATGTGCGTCGTCGACTCTCCCGAAGCGCAAACATCGAGGCTGACTTGGGGAGATGTGTCGACAGGGATCGACATCAACGACTTGTCGACGATCGCGACCCTCGCACAAGCAGCCGTCGCTCGAATGCAGACCTGGTACGAGAACGGAGTCTTCGAGTGCGTACTTCGTCCCGTCTTCTGCGAGATTCGGGACTGATCGAGACGTTGCTATGTAGATGGACAGGTTGGTGGCAGACGCCTGTGCTGGGCATGGCTTACACGAACCTCGACCTCGCGCTCGGGAACCAAGGTGCGTCTCACGCTTCTCTTGTCGAGACAACGCGAGGCTGTTCCATCTCTAGCCTCCTGGGTCGAGGACGGAAAAGGATTGTGTCGGCTCGAGACGAGTCCTGACCATTCACTACACGTGCGCAGTCAACGAGCTCCTCATCAAGGACCTCTTGATCCGTAACGACGGCCTCGGGTGGATGATCGACAAGTACATTGACGACCAGAGTGCGTCTTGCCTTCCTCCTCTCGGTCCCTCTCCTTCCCCTCCTTCCCTCACCCTCCGTCACGTTACGCCTCGCCTGTGTATTCACTAGCGACGACTGACTTGCCCAATCCTCCCGTCACTCAGGCTGGTGGGCCATGTTCGCCCTCCGCGCGCACCAAGCCTACCCGAACACGACCTGGCTCAATATGGTCGAGACGATCAACAACAACAACTCGCTCTACTGGACCGACACGTGCGGAGGTGGCGTGCTGTGGTTGACGTACAAGCCGATGATCAAGAACACGATCACGAATGGGTGCGTTCGAGCTTCTCCTGCGAGGCGTCAAGGGACGGAGCTGATGGGCGGTTGGTCCGAGCAGTCTCTACTTTAGCATCCTCACGCGCCTGTACCGCTACACGGGCAATTCGACGCACTTCGACTACGCGATGAACACCCTCAACTGGTGGCTCTCCTGGTCGTTTGAGCCCTCAAACGGGCGCGTCTACGACACCATCACAGCCGACTGGCAAGGTCAGCCGATGGACCAATGCACCAAGACGGGCGAGCAAACCTGGACGTACAACTCGGGCGCGTTCCTCTTCGGGCTTGCGGACCTGTTCTACGCGACGGGGAATACCAAGGTCCTCGATTTGGCGAGGAGTATCGCGTATGCCGCGATGAGGGACTTTACGGATCACCAGACGGGGATCTTGACGGAAAGTTGCGAGCACGACCCGCCGCCTGGACCGGGCAAGCCTCCGGGCTGTCAGCAAGACGAGACGGTCGTGCGTCCCCTTCCTTCCCTCGCTTCCCTCTCTTGACTCACTCGCTGACGCTCGCTCGTTTCGCGCTCAGTTCAAGGGCATCTTCCTCCTCGGCCTTGCAGAACTCTACGTCGCGCGCCCGGACCCCAACATCTACAACTTCGTCAACACCCAGCTCCTCAGTAATGCGTTCAATAACCTCGACGATACGTGGTTGTTTGGGATGTGGTGGGGTGGGCCGGTGCGTCGCGCTTCTCTGGCGCTCCTGCTGTCCTTGCGCGGTGCTGCTCCGTCTTTCGCGGGATACTTTGATGTATGCGGAGAACGATTGCTGACGCTTACTCGCTCCTCGTGCACAGTGGAACGTTACCACCGCCGGCCCGAAGACGCAAATCAACGCCCTCTGCCTCCTCTCCGCCGCTGCCATGATCAACGCCGACTACCTCTCCGCCGCAGGCCAAAAGACGGCCGTCCCGAGCGTCACGGACCAGATCAAGGTGCCGGAGAGTACGGCGACGGGCGAGGCGGGGAGCACGAACCGTGATGGAGCGGTTAATGGAGCGGGGAGGGCGAGCGAGTGGGCGGGCGCGACGGCGGTTGTGGCGCTCGCGATGGTTGTCGGTGGAGTGGGAGTATTGTGGGCGTGAGCTTATCAGCTATAGACGGACTTTGGCGACCCGCTCGATACAGACACTTCCAGACTCTTGTTGTAACCCCCTCTCGACCCGTCCCCTTCCGGTCTCACCTCTTGTTGCCTGTTATCGAATCTGTATGACTCGCACTCCTGTCTGGCTGTCGCGCTAGAGGGGGAGAGGGACTTGCTCGTTGTTGAGGAAGGAAGCCTTCTCAACCTTCGCTCTTGCGCTCGTGCTGGCGTCGCGTGGACGCTGCGTGCGCTCTCCACGATGCTCAATACACGCTCTACGCAGCAGAGAGGTCGACTTGCCAGCCTGAGTGCCGTTGCACTGACCCTCTTGTTCTTCTTCTCCTCCCGCTCACAGACTCTCCCGTCCTGCTGCCCAGACCAGTACATTCGCTTGTCACCAGGTTTAGTTATGCTCAAGGACTCCTGTCGACCGCCTCGCAGTCGCTCCGACTGCTCTCCTCGTGCCTCCCTCGCCCATGGGGACTCACTCAGAATCGCTCGTTTCCTGCGCTCCCCTGCCTGTGGATCGGCTTCTGAAGGCTTTGAGGCAGTATGAAGGGCTGTAAATGGGCGATAGAGGCCCTTGGGCCGGCTTGGGGCGGCAGCAGAGCGTGAGGAAAGCGGGACAGGCTTGCACGGCTTCAGCAAGGAGGGTCAGGGAGGACACGACGACGGGCAGGCGAGGCGGAAGGACTTGGCGGAGCTGCATGAAGGTCAGATGTGGCAGCTGTGCTGGGTTTGCGGTCGGGGAGGCCGAGCTAGGCGCTGGAACGACGGGCTACAACGAGTCTCCTGGCTGACGACAAGCTTCTAAGGGTATCGAACGTCTCCTGCGCTACGTCCGGACAACGAGCCGCAGACTGTCTCCTCAACGTTGCGTGTGAGGCGGCCACCCAGGTCCAACGGGCTGTTTGCGGACGGCGAGGAGGAATGAGGCAAATGATGGACGACGGGAAGAGAACGAGCGTCCTCAGCGCCGGCTCTTCGCGGCTCCTACGACGTTCTCCAGGCTAGTCTCAACCCCTCGTGGAGCTCAGGCAGCCAGCGGACGAGCGGCAGCGGATGGTTCAGACTCAACCCTTACCGCGACAGGCGCGCCCGCAACTCTCGCTCGTTTCGGTGCCTCGCTCCCGCTACAACGACCACGAGCGGGTTGTCTAGCCTGCTCGGTCGGCGAAGAACCATTGCTGCTACAACTCGACCCCCTGTGCGCTCCCCCGCGAGCCGGGCTTGATGCGCCAGCCGCCTCCTCGTCCTCATCAGTCTCCGCCGCTCGAACTGGTATACAGCTCAATGTCAAGACCACCAGGCGCAGCACTGCAGGGTCTCAGTGACGCAGGAACCCGTCAAACACCGACCTGCAGATTTCTGACATCCGCGACGCCCCTCCGCCCGCCCTCCGCCCGGCCACTTCTTCAACACGACTACCGCCTCTCGATCCCCTCAGCAAGCGTCTAGGGTCACGGCGGAACGAGCGGCGCAAACTGGGATGCTGGAATTGGAGGAAAGGCGTGGCGGCAGCCTCAGCAAACCCCTCCGCGCCCCTTTCGCCGACTCGTCGCCTTCAGATGCTTACGACACAGCAACTTCAGCCTCGATGGCTAGTCGAACCCTACGGACGCCTCACGACTCCTCAAAACCCTTTTCACGACCTTCTTCACCTCGCGCTCCTCCGCCTGGCTTTCCCTTTCCTTCTCTCGCCGCCGACACATGCTTTGCCACCCTTTCGACCCCTCCTCGACATATGAAGCGCTCTCGAATGGTCCTTCGCCGACGATAAGCGTCCGTCACATCCTCTTCCTGGTCTCGAGTCGAACGGCTACTTTCCACGCTGGCCTGGTCGCCCAAAGCTGTCCACTGGCTGAAACTCGACTGAGACTCGCCCGTTGAACCTTGCTCTACCCCCTGTGACTGCGCCACTCAACAAGGTTTGCCCAAGTCACGGATGGCTGGCTCGTTGAGACGGCGAGATCGTCGCGGGCGAACGACTTTCGCGCTCGCCTCGCTTCGCCTCTCTCTCTCCTTCTCTTCACTCGCACTCGCCTTCGCACTCTGAAGCGCCTACAGCACAACACACCCACAGCTACCCATCGACATCACTTCACACCGAGAACCCCTCCAGCACACTCCTCGCCTCCTTCCCGCCCGCCATGGACCGTCACCCCCTCCTCGCCTCCTCGTCGCCCAACGCCTCGCGCTCGTTCATCGGTGCGGTCGCTTCGTTCTGCTCGTCGCTTAACCCGGTGCGTTCAGTCTCTCGTTCCCTGCGCTTCTCGAGACCGTATGCTGACGTCTCGGTTTCGCCCGCTTCCCCTTCGCCCTCTCGCCTTGTCGACTGCCTCGCTTCCTGCTCCTCGCTCTCGCCCAACAGTTCTCGTCGAAGGCCTCGCCCGCACGCCCTCCCACCTCCGTCATCTCCCGCCCCTTCCTCTCGCACCTCGAAGCCAAGCCCTCTCCCGCTTTTGAGTTCATGACTGCCGAGCGCCATCTCGCTATCGCCTGCCTCAAGGACGAAATCAACGAGCTCTCGCACCCCGAATCGGTCGCCTCGTCGTCGGCTTCCTCCAGCTCGTCCACCTCGTGTCTCCTCAACTACGCCAACGACTCGGGCTACTCCTCCCTCTCGTCCGTCTCCTCCTCGTGCTCGCGCGAAGACCTCATCACCGAACTCGGCGCAAAAATCGCCCAGCTCGAGAAGTACTCGTACAAGACCGAAGCATGGCGTCGGAAGGAGTCGTACCTCATCCGCTGGCTCTTCGCTCGCTTCGAGGCCTACGACAAGCTCTACGTCGAGGGCCTCCTCGAAGGGCGCCGCATCATCATGAGCCAGGAGGACGACGAGCGACGACTGGAGCGGCTCAAGGGCGCGCGGTACTGGGAGTCGAGCATCACCGAGGCGCGGGCGTTCGAGAACCGCATTCGCGAGGACCTCGAGGGACGCATGAACATCTGGTTGCGCAAATTCAAGGAGGACGCGCACGACGAGATGGTGCGACACATCGGCCGGATGCGACGACACGACCTTCGCGACGCCTACCTCCCTCTTCCTTCCATCTGGCGGCCGTGAAGACGACATATCCACTCTGTATCCGTATCGTTTGGCAGGTTCTGTACCCTTCGACAGGTTCTGTATCGTTCGGCTCGCTCAAATGCTGTTGTAGAAGTCTCCTCGTGTTGTTGTAACGGTTTCCGGGTCTTCCTTCCCTTCTTTGCGTCCGGAGAGCGAGAGACATAGATACAACATCGTTCCGAGAGCGTCAACCTAGCCCGTACTCGGCGGAGCTGGCACTTCTACCGCAATCCTTGCCTCTACCTTCTCGCCTCCCCATTCCACCTCGATCCGCAGCTCGTCCATCAAGTCTTCCACATCGCCCTCGACTGCTCGTCGCGGCGGAACGTACACCGTCGACCGCAGGACGGCGTTGATGTCCCTCAGTCTCGCCTCCTCGACGACGACCTTGACCTCGTTCCCTCCCGGCAACTCCGCCTGCCCGTCCGCCGTCCTGGCCGACAAGCCCCGCACAGAATACGCCACCCGCCCGCCCTTCGCTGTCGCGAAGCGGATCTCGGCTTTTGCAGCCGGCGAGCCGCTCGCAAGAACGCCTCGGAGCGAGATGAGGTCGAGGCCGTCAAAGTGGCCGTCTGCCGAGCCGACGAGCGCCAAGTTGGGCGTCTCAAGTTGCTCGAGGGTCGTGCGGGCGCGATAGGTGTACGAAGAAGGGAAGCGGAGCTGGATGCCTTGCGCGGAAGATGGCGGTTTCGCCTTCTCGGTGTCGGCGGAGGAGAGGAGGCCGACGGGTCGAGGAATGCGAAGTGAGAAGGCGTCGAATGCCTCGCCAACAATGCTGCCAGCCTGAATCCGCAGGTGGTTCGTCATCTTGCCGAACAGGTGGATCGACCACGACTCGCGCGCCATCCGAGCGAGTTCCGCTTTCCCCTCGCCTGGAGCGAGCGCGCGGACGAGCTCGTGTGCCGAGACCCAATTGCGCGGGTACAGGACGTGCGGCGGGAAGATCGTGAAGCCGTGCATCTCGAGCTGGTGCCGCTTCGAGCGGACTGCTGTCGTAATCGCGCGCGGACCGACGCAGTTGAAGCAGTCGACCGAGTACGTCGTTGAGAAAGCTTTCTCCATGATGTCGCGGAAGACGGCCCAGCCTCGGCGGAAGCGCATAACGCCGGGGGCGAGGTACATGCCGTCCTCGTCGAGCGTCCAGTCGAGGTCGCTCGCAACGGTCGAGTAGTCGGCGCCGATGAACTCGACCTTGGAATCGGGCGGCGAGCGGATCCATGGCGCGTCCATGTCGAGGTCTGCATGGAGACGGGTCAGCTGGGGCGCTATGGCGAGGCGAGCGCAACTCACAGGTTCCGCCATACTTGAAGAGGAAGAGATAGCGAAGGTAGTCGGTGAGATGAGAGAAGCTGTGCAAAAGCTGAGTCAGCGAAAGCGAGCGTGACAGGTGGAACGAAGCGACGCACAAACTCGGCCCCTTCTGCCACCTGTCCCAATCTTCGAGCCACCGCTTGCTGTGCGGTCCGAGGTACCAGCCTCGCTCCAACATCTCCTCCTTGCTCACGCGAATGACGTGAATGGCGTATCCTTGGCGGGTGTAGTCATCGAAAAAGTCGGTCGGCAAGTTCGTCGAGAACATGAAGAGGATCGCTCGTGGCTCGTGCGCCCAGATCGTCTCGAGCGCCTGGTAGTGGCGCTCCTGGAACGTCTCGACGCCGGTCGTCCAGCAGAGCATGTGCAGGAGGTACCAGTCGTCTGTCGAAGAGAAGGGCGACGAGTGTTGCGAGAGCAGTCCGGGCAGGATCCACGGGTCGTCGGCGCTGCCGATGATGAAGGGCTCCGGCGCAAGCTTGAGGGGACTGTCGAGAGCTGCCGTGGCGGAAACGGAGGGGCGGTTCCACAAGGTCGCGCCCTTCATGTCGTCGCAGGCGTATCCCCAGTCGCGCCAGTGATTCCGCCTCTTCCGGCACGACGGGTAGCAGACGCCGCACCAGTCCTGCAGGAGGCCCTCGCACTGCTTGCGTCCGGCGACGATGTTGGCGTACATCTCGCGCGGGCCGAACCCGCTCGGCTCCTTGTACTGCCCGCCGAAATGCTTCGCGATCATATCGTTCTCACACACCTGCGCCTGCTGGATGCGGTAGTCATGTATAGGCCGGATGCCGGTCGGGAAGAGCCAGAGGCCGAGGTTCTGGTCCTCGTTCTTGACGAAGAGGCGGGAGGATGAGGGCGGCGCGATGAGGTCGACGAGGTCCTTCGACAGGATGTGCAGGGCGCCTGCTGTGTAAGGCGGGAAGGACGAGAGCTCGTAGGAAAAGTCGGCGTTCTTGTTCGACGAGTCTTTGATGGCCGGGATGTCCCTGTGGAGCGCGAGAGTCAGCAAAGAGCAACGCAACGGCTGTGGAGCCGCTCACCAGTACGCAAAGCCTCGCCAATACTCCTTCCGCCGACCCAGCTGGACCAGCTCCTTGCCGACGATGTCCATCCGCAACAGAATGTCGTCGTCCGTCTTCAGAACGTAATCCACGTCCAAGCCGGACGCCCACTTCCACCCCTCGTAGATCTTCTCGCTCAGGTGCTCATACGAGTCGTGCGCAGGGACGACGAGCATGTCGCCGAACTCGTCCGCCTCGGCTTCAATGCCGGGACCTGCCCGCGCAGCAGTCTGAGGCGAAGGCGCGACGCCGAGAAGAAAACGGTAGGCGACGGAGATGGACGGTGTTTGGCGTGGGAAGAGTCGAACCGAGGTCTCGCGGAAGGTGTGTCGGTTCGTGAGGGAGCGGTTCGTCCAGGAGGAGGTGACGAGGATCATGACGCGAATGTCGGCGGTCGGGATTAGTCCTGTCGCAAGGGAGGGGCCGCGAGCCGGCAGCGAGACATTCGCGCTGAGACGAGGCTTGCCGAGTTGGACACCGCCGCCACCCTTGTACCGCGCAACGAACTGCTGCCAGAGCAGCGCGTTCATCGTGAGCCATCCCAGCACCGCGAACGGCAGGACTGTTCCCCACAGCACTCTTCTCCAGCTCAGCACGCGCTCGCCCTTCCTGTACTTGTCCGTCCGCACGCCTGGTCCAAGCACCATCGTCACGACTGCCGAGAAGATCCGCCAACCCTGCTGTCCGCGCCGGTCCTTCCGCTCGACGATGTTGCTCGTCACCCAGGTCTGGACGACATTGCAGAAGGCGGCCGTCGTCGCGCAGACGACCCATCCTGCGACTGGCTGGTCGAAAGAGAGAACGCGGTGCGTGGTGAGGGTGAGTGGCCAACAGATGGCTTGCAGGCTGATGACACGGACGATGGTCGGACCGAATGTGTAGTAGACGAGCCATCGGCGCAGGAGACCGCGAGCGAGCGAGAGGGTGAAGTAGGCGGTCGCGAGCGCCCACATGCCCGAGACGAACCAGTCGAGTCGAGTGCTGCGAGCGTCGGTGACGCCGACTGCATGGCCACCCTCCTCCCATGTAGACGACGCCCATACGAGGTGCGGCGTCGAGTAGAAGCGGGCGGCGGAGTAGACGAAGCCGATCAGGCCGGGCACCATGGCGAGGAAGTTGAGGAAGACGAGAAGGGGGGTCCAGATGCGGTACCGCTTTCGTGGCGGCGAGGTCTGCGTTCGGGAAGTCGGTAGAGCGGTCTGCGAGTGCGTCCTTAGCGCAGGATAAGTGCCCAGAAGGAGCGATTCACATACGGATGCTGGTGAAGGTTCGGAAGAGGCGGCGCCGCCTAGTCGTAGTCGCGCCATCTTCTGCTCGCTCGGTATCCGTCGGTGGCGTAGGAGCTCTACTCCAGAATCACCACTCGAATTCTGATGCCGCCTCGAGGTATTGCTTGACCGAGTCGGGATCTCGAGAGCTTCGTCCGAATCCTCGTCGTCGTCCTCTCGCGCTTCTCTGGCGCGACCGTGCGATGAAGGCGTCGAGTCTCCCTCTGACGCTTCGGCTATTGCAGGCGGGATGTGCTGGATCGTGTAGAGCGAGCTGGACGACGAGGTTCTCGTTCGGGGTAGTCGAGGTGCCGAGTCCTGGAGAGACCGCGGCCGCCCTTCAGCAGTCGGCGAAGGAAGCCATGACGGGAGTTGCGATTGCTGATCAGGAAGCGTGCTGGTAAAGGCGAGATTCGGGAGTTGCGGGACGCTGCGACTGCGAATTGGCGGGGCGAAGGGAGCCGTGTAAGGTGGGGGGGAGCCCAAGGGCGGCGGAGGGTTGAGAGGGAGATTGGAGGAGAAGACAGGCGAGGCGTTCGGGAAGGGTGTCGGCAGAGGAGCGTTGCGAGAAGAGGGAGAGCCGCTGTCGAGCGAAGAACGCCTCGACCCCGAGTTGCGCCGTACGGGCGCCAGCTTGGCTGACAGGTCGTGAAGAGGGTATATATGCTATCCTGCAGGTTGTCAAGCTCGCGTCAGCTGAAGTTACTCTTCCCGACGACCACCTCTGCTCGATCAAGTCCACCCAGACCTCCCGCTGGCTCCGATGCGGCTGCTTGCTTGAACACAGCGTCAGGAGCATTGTCGAAATTGCTCGGACTCACTGGTATCCCGCCCTGAGCTGAGAAACCCCAAGTCCACCTCGGAACAACCGCGATGAGCGAAGTGGAAGAGTGTCGCGTCCTCGCCCCTCGTGCGCCTTGTAGAGCCTGCAAATAGGTTCAGAGCAGGCAGAGGATATACCTTGCAATCAAGCGAGGCAGCAGGAGCAGGCTCAGAATAGCGCGGAGGACAAGTTGGTCTCTCGCCTCTCTCGCTGAACTTCCGCTCGCCGCCGCGTTTTCCTGGCCGTAATGACGCGAATGTGAACAGCGAGACTTTGCAGGACTGAAACGAGGGACCAACGGAGAGAGACAAGAAGAGGGAGAGATGCAGGAGAGGTAAGGTGGGTATCGACTCGCCAAGGCGGTTTTTGCGAAAAGGGTGTGCAACTACTGCGAAGGCGGACCCATCCGCTGCACGAGGAGCTTGAGCGCCGCCTGGAAGGGAGCGACGTCTTGCGTTCCGCTCGTGAGCATCTGGAAGTGCAGGTCCAGCGCGGCGTGCTGGTTGCGCGCTTGGATGGCTGTGTGAGCAACGCGAGCGTCAGTTGCGAGCTGAGGGAGGTCGAGAAACAGTGGCAACGCACCCTGGCAGACGTCGAGCACCCGCTTGGCGGACGCCTCCGTCAGCAACTCGTTGTTGAGCAGGTCGAACAGGATATTGAGGCGCTTCTCTGTGTCGTTGACAATCTTGGTCTGCTGAGGCTGCACGCGAAATACATCGTCAGTCGAGTAGAAAGCAAGGGAAACGGAGAGCGAGCACGCACAGGAGTATTCTGCCTCAGCCGGCCGAGCTCTTGCGTCAGGATGTCAACGATGGACTTGAACTGCGGCGCGATATGGCTGCGGTCGCCGGGAGCTGCAAGGGGAGAAGAAAGCGTCAGCCTCAGTGTCGAGCCAGAACGAACAGCTCGACGCACGGTACTTCATCTTCGGCGGCTCAGAGCGCGGAGGCGGCGGCGCGGGCGACGAGTTTGGTGCCGAAGGGGGCGTCGCGTGGCCTGCCATTGGCGGAGGAGGAGCCATCTGCTGCGGCTGAGGCGGCTTCGGCGACTGTTGAGGCGGACCGTTCGGCGCAGCAGACGAAGGGGGAGGCGGAGGACGCTGCTGCTGCTGCTGACCCGCTTGAGGAGGAGGCGGCGCGAACTGAGGTCCGCTAGGCGGCGGAGGCCGCTGTTGAGCCTGGTTCTGCTGAGCCGAGGGCGGAGGAGGGGGAGGCATCGAGCCGTTGGGCGCACCCTGGCCAGCGCTTGGCGGCGGGGGAGGCGGCGCTTGCTGACCGGATGCAGTAGGAGGCGGAGGCGGACGCGCGTACTGCGGGCCGGAAGGCATAGGCGGCATCGGCGGCGCACCAGCTGCCGAGAAGGGCTGCATAGGCGCGCGCATCCCGCCAGCCGAAGGCGGACGAGGGAAGCCGGCGCCTTGAGGAGGGGGAGGAGGCGTCATTGCTGCACCGCGGGGAGGAGGAGGCGCGGCTCCTGCACCGGCGCGAGGCGGAGGAGGCGCGCCCGGCGTCCCGCTTCGAGGCGGTGGCGCGGCGTAGACGGGTCCGCTTCGCATCGCCGGAGGAGGCGGAGGCGGAGCAGAGATGGACGAAGTTGACGACGCAAGGCCGTTCACCGCGGTGCCGAGAGAAGCGGGAGGAGGAGGAGCATAAGGCGAGGGCGCCTGCGACGAGGGAGGCGGAGGCGAGAACATGCGGTTGGCCTGCTGCTGAGGCGGCGGTGCGGTGCCGGTCATGGGAGGCGGAGGCGGCGGTTGGGCGTAGCGCGGACCTGCCATCGGAGGGGGAGGAGGTGCAGCTCCACCGGGTGCAGGCGTCCTGTTCGCACCTCGACTCGGAGGCGGAGGCGGAACAGCTCCTCCCGGCAAGCCACCGTACGGACCAGGCGTCGCATTCGGGCTCGAGTTTGGGAAAGGGCTGGTGATGGCCGGGACCTTAGGCGCGGCGGCAGCAGCGCTCAAAGCGCCTGGTCCAGGCGTTCCCGACTTCTTGCGGTCGCCAAGGCCAGGAAGGTTCGGTGCGTCGTTCCAGCCGCCTTCGGGCTTGGCGCGAGGAGGAGGCGGGACATTCGCGGCAGGAGGAGGGTTGCGAGCGGCAAAGTTGGGCGACTCAGTCCGAAGCTGAGGAGGGGCGGGTAGGCCGGCGCCGGGGTTGGTGTTCGACGGCGCGTACGGGTCGTGCATGCCAGCCGATTGGTTCGGGAATGCAGGTGCGAAGGCAGCGTTGCCGGCAGGCGTCGCAGCAGCGCCGATCGCGGGCGGAGGAGCGACGGCTGCGCTCGGCTTCGGCGCGTACGGATTCGCTGCAGGCGGCGCGGCCTGGCCAGGCGCAGGCGCGTACGGGTCGTCGAGCGGGTTCGACATCGGCGGAGCTGCGGCGTAGGGGTTACGAACAGGCGAGGTGACCGAGGGAACCGACGGCGGAGGCTGCGAGTAGCCGGTCGAGGGTGCCGCAGGTGCGCCGTAGGGGTTGTAGGCGTTCGCGGGCGCCGTGGCGAGTGCAGCCGGGGTGCCGTACGGGTTGTAAGCCGAGCGAGTCGAAGCCGAGAGCGGGTTCGCACGCTGCTGGCCGTATGCCGAAGTCGATGCCTGTCCGTACGCTCCAGGCCGACCGTAAGCGCCACCGCGCGCCTGCTGCTGCTGTTGCTGCTGGTACGCCGCGCCAGCCCGCATCAACCTGTCGCGCTTCATCGCCGTCTCGCTAAGCCGCGTCATGGTGCCCTCAAAGTCGGCAGGCGTCATGGCGACATACTTGAGGGCGAGCTGGACCTTGCCCTGGTGCGCGAGGAGGTCGGCGTACTCGATGTAGCGCTCGTACAGCGCCGCAAGCTTGTAGCTGCGCGCGCCTGACTCGGCGACGGCGGCGGACTGCGTCGGCTGGAGGAGGTCGGTGTCGCGGTAGCCGACGGCGTGCTGGAAAACCTGGACCTTTTCGATGAAGGACTGGAGGGCGCGCGCGTGCGCCTCGAAGCGGCTCGTCGCGGAGGCGGACTCGGCGTCGGGCAAGCGGGCGGTCTCGTCCTCCTGCATCTGCTGCACCCAGACGCCGACGACCTTCTCGAGCCTGCCAGCGGCGAGGTAGCACAAGACGGCGTTCTTCCTCCACTCGCCGGCCTCTGCCGCGCCTCCCTGTCGGCCCTTGACAAGCTCGAACTGGTACTCGAGGCGCTGTCCAAGCTGCTCAACCAGTCGACCAAACTCGTCTTCCGTCGGCGCATACGTGCAAGCAACGACAAACGCCTCGCGCCAGTCGGCAAGGTCGACGTTCTGAACGACATCGACCAGGTCGTTCTGCACGACGCTCTCGAGGACGCGGAGGTAAGGCTTGTCGGTTGCGCAGCGGGCGAAGTAGGCCTTCTGCGCCGAGGCGAGGAGGTCGGACGAGCCGGATTGGAGGGCGAAGAGGAGCGCGTCGGCGTAGCGTTCGGACGAGAGGGCGAGGTCGACTGCCGAGGCAAAGTCGCCGAGAACGAGCGACTGCGTGACGAGACGCTCCGGGTCGAGGTCGTCGTCGCCATTGACGCTGGACGAGTCCGCCGCGTCCTTGTAGAGCCGAAACGTCGCAGACTTGAGGTTAAGGCTCGCGACGCTCGATGCGCCGCTTCCAATCGTCGCAGCAATCGAACTCGCCTCCTGTCCTTGACGAAGGTGGCTCGGGACAGCCGAGAGCGTCTGGCCCGCCGGTCCTTGCTGCTGCTGCTGCTGGCCGAGGGTCGCGAAAAAGTCGTCCCCATTCGGCTGCTGGCTGCTGTCGAACAACCCTCCCGCGCCGTTCGACTCGGCCGCGGCGTTATCGTTCCCGAAGAGCGAAGGCTCGGTGATCTCGCTATCGGCGACCGAGTCACTCGACGCGGCCGTCGTCGTTCCCGCACCAAAGATGCCCTTCGTCGTAGTGGTCTGGTCAGACGAAGTCGAGCGTTCGTCCTCTGGCGATCCGGGCGCAGCGTTCGGGAGAGGCGGCAAACGAGCCTTGAGGACCTTGAGCGCCTCGTCGACTCGGACTTTGAGGTCGGCGCGATCGAACCACTGTCCGCCGAGTAACTCGACGAGCGTCTCGCGGTTCGTCGGTCCCGCGCCAGTTCCCGATCCCGATCCAGCGGAAGCATGGAAGAGAGTCTTGAGGAGCGCCCAACTCTCCTTCTCCGCCTCGGTCATACTCGCTCCATCTCCTCCCTCACCCGCAACCCGATCGTCGCAAAACTTGGCCAACCCACCCTCCTCCAAGCCCGTCGCAGCGCGTTCGAGCCTCTCCGCGCGCTCAACCACCTCTTCAACCGTCACGACCTTCTCGACGCTCACCCTCGAACCATTCGACTCATGCGAGATCCGCACAAGGCGGCCTCCGAATCCGAACGCGACGGACGAAGGGCGCTTGAGCCATTTCGGTGCGAGCGCGAGCGAGACGGTCGGGTGGTTCGCAACGTTTGCGGAGATAGCCTGCTCGAAGAGGCTGTCTGCGCCGCCTGCTCCAGACGCCGCCGCCGCAGCGTTCTGCTCCTCTTGCTCCGAGACGTTGGTCGCTTGCAACCCTTGGACCGCCACGACCCCATCGAGCGAGGAAGTCGCGACGAAGCCTGGGTTGCGCGGACACCAACTCGCTTGGAAGGTCCAGTTCGTCGAGGGCTTGATTTCGGCAACGATGGACGAGGAGGAGAGAGACCAGGTGAGCGTGCGGCCGTCTTTGCCGGACGAGAGGAGGAGGTCCGAGTCCGAGGGGCAGAACGAGACGGAGAGGATCCCCTTGTCGTGCCCGCGGAGGACCTGCCGAGGAGGTCCAAGTCAATTGCGTGGGCAGCGTGGAAGGAAACGAGCGCGAGACGCACGCGCTCAGGCTCCTTCCAGTTCCTCAAATCCCAAACGAGCAAGTTGGGCGCATGGTCGTCCTCGCTGGCCGTCACAAGGCGCGTGGGCTGCAAAAAACCGTCCACACACATCGTCAACTTTTCTATCCGCCAGAGAAAACGAACGAAGAGGAGTCCGACGACGCACGTTCTCCGGATGCCACTTGACCACACTGTGTCCTCCCAGTCCCCCAGGGCCAGCGGTCATCCCACCCCCGCTCGGTCCAAACGGGTTCCCCGCGCTCCCTCCAAACCCAGCCGGTCCCAACCCCGTCGCCCCTCCTCCAGCATACGAAAGCGCCGTCACCTCCCTCTTGGTCTTCAAATCCCAGACGACTGTCGCGCCTGAGTTGGAAGATGAGGCGAGGATGTGTGCGACGGAGGGGTTCCAGGAGAGTGAGGTGATGCTGTCGAGTGAGCGCGAGCGGGTGCCGGGTGAGAAGGGCGTTTGAGGGGAGTTGAGATCGTAGATGAAGATCTGCGTCGAGAACGGTTGTGCGTCAACGTCTGTTCTTCTCCGGTCCGACAAACCTAGCGCATCTCTCCGCATGGGAGAAACACGAAGGACGCAAGGAGGGAAAGGAGGCGAGAACATACCTCTCCCCCCGTCGCGCCCGTCGCAAGCAAGTTACCCTGGGCCTTTCCAAAGTCGAGGCCGCGGACTGGACCGGAGTGAGGCGAGGGAAGCGAGAGGATGAGAGGGCTGTTTGGGCGTAGAGGGGAGGTATGTGGGGGAGGGTGGAAGGGAGGGAAGAGGAGGGTCCGGCGCGGGCGGAGCAGAAGGAAGAGAGATGGTGTAGGCGAGGGAAGAAGGTGCGTAGGACAGGAGTGAGTTGGAAGGAGAGGGAGCGAGGGAGTGTAAGGAGGAGGAAACGGCTGTCAGCACGCGTTCCTTGGCGGAATTTACCTCCTGGGTTCCGTTCAACTGCCTCAGGTACTCCGCAAGCCACCTCGCCTTTCCCGCGAGCGCCCTCGCCTCGCCAACGCGTCCCCTCCGGCGTGGTGGTGACGATGAGGGGGAGGAGCAGGCGTGGAGGGGGGCGAACTCACTCTTGTCCGTTCTGCGCGTCGAGCATCCTCGCCGGGTCCCACAGCCCGACCTGACCGTCCTCCATTCCGGCCGCGACGACGCCGAGCCCGTTGTCCGCGTCGAGGCCGTGGATGCCCCTGCCCGTGCCCCACTGGACGGTGTTGAAGCGTGCGTTCGAGCGGGCGGTGGCGCGTGGGTTGTTCGAGTCTGAGAAGGGGGTCCATAGTTCGATGAGCGAGTCTGTCGAGAACGAGGGGTCGAGTGCGCCCGAGACGGTTGCGGTGAGGAGGAGCGGGTCGTTCGAGTGCGCGGGCTGCCACGCGTGGAGCGCTGTGCGAGTGAGCTGCGCTGTCGGCGCCATCACAGCGTCCCGTCGCTTGAGCTTGAGTGCGAGTTCGAGTGGTACGTGGAGCTGCTCGAGGTCGACGACGATGGCCCCTGTCCACCTAGCAGCCCCTTCTCTCCCTGCACACTATGCTCTTCACATTGAGCTTGTACGGCATCTGATTCACTTGCTAACAGTGCACCCCAGCCAGCTCAAGTCGAACGAGCCGACGAGGTCGCCGTTCTCTCCCTCCAATCTCCCTCTCGCTCGCTCATCCGCCTCGCTGACACTGACCTTACCCGCACTGTAGAGCGTCGCTGCCGTACCGCAGAGCCGCTCAGACCAGCCACCCGTGCCGGCTCCGCCCTCGCCCCAACGCCAATCGCCCAGTCTGAGTTAGAGTGCCCACCGTCGTGCGTGCGAGTGGGCAGCACATCTCGCATCTCGCTGGCGAGAGGTTCTCGCTGCGCCCGGCATCAAGCCAGACACAGCAGCCTCACTCACTCGCTCGCTCACCCGGCCGGAAAAGGCTCGTTTCACCGCTCCAACTCGCCTTCCTCTCCAGGGCGTGTTGATCCTCGTCCTCGCAAGGCGTGCGCCTGATCGCCCTGCCTTTTGAGTCGCTTCCGTCCCGAATTCCACGCCCCACTTGCGAGTGCCCTCGCCCTCTGCGATCGGGGCATCAAGAAGCCTTCTGTCCCGCCCCGCCCGTTCTTCTCTCCTCATCCTCTCGCTCGCTCGCTTGTTCTCCTGCTTCGCACGACACACTCGCTTGTTCACGCTGCCGGCGTCGACGCACACAATGTCGGCGTCGGTCCTCTCCCTCCCCGCGACCCTCAACGCAACGACGCTCGACTACCTCCTCCGGGAAGCCCACGACTTGTACTACCCGATGCCAACACCGGGCTTTACCGTGCGCATCGCAGTGCTGTTGACCATCGTCGCCAGGTGCGTCACCTCTCGTACCCTAGCGGGCGGAGATGCGAGCTGACCCGCTCGTTTCCTCGACAGCACCGTCCTCCTCGCGCTCTTCTACCTCTCCCACCACCTCTACACCTCCTACCGCGACACCCATACCCTCTGGTTCATCCGCCTGATCGAGCGTCCAAGCGGCCGCTTCATCGTCCTCAACCCACGCGTGACCTGGAGCATCGCCATCATCGCCCACGGCTCGTTCGTCCTCGTCCTCGTCGCGCTCTTCTGGCAAATCTATGCGCACGAGTACTCGAAGAGGACGTATATCGCGCTCAAGACGTTGCAGCCTTTGCCGCAGTTTGTGGGAGGGTGGATGGGGACTTGGTCGAGTCTGCAAGTACGTGCCCTTCCCCTCCTCTCCCATCTCTCTCCTATCCTCGCCCGCGTACTGATGGGCGTTAGGGCAGGCTTTCTTGGTAGCAAGCGAATCAGCAAACTCGCCCCTCCTCCCCGCTTACCTCGCAAACACCCTCTTCCTCCTCGGTGGCTTCGTCCTCGCCCTCCCAGACCTCGTTCGTCTCCCCTTCCTCTCTTCCCTCACCTCCCTCCTCGAGCCAACTGACTTGAGCAAGTGTGCCAGGTCCTGGCGATAATCAACTCCCACCTAGCCCTCCGCCTCGACGACCGCTACTCCGACCTCGTCTCAGCCTTGCAAGCGCTCGACGCACAGCTCGCGGGAAAGACGCCTACGGTACAGCAGCTCTTGCAGCTGAAAGAGCCGGCGGGCAAGTTGCAACTGGCGGCGGGGAGGTTGAAGCAGTGCGTTTCGCGGTTTCCCCTGCTTTGCGCTTCGCCAAGCGTGGAAGAGGCTGATGGGATCGGGAGGAACAGGTTCTCGGTTGCGCAGTACTGCGTTACGATCATGCTCCCTATCGCTTGCCTCATCGTGCGTCCCCCTCCCCTTCCCCTCCTTCCCCTTCCTTCTCCTCCGGCTGACAACGGGATACCGGACAGGTAAACGCCGGCGGCCTCGCCCTCGCACGCAAGATCCACGTGCACATCAGGGAAAACGTCAGCCTCATCGCTCTTCACACCGCAACCACCTCGCTCCCGCCTCAGCCGCTCGATATCTCGCTTGCGCTCGTGCCGACTCGGACTACGACTGATACACCGATGATGGTGTTGGGGAAGGTTGTGAGTCGAGGGCTCGGGTTTGGGGAGGAGGGAGAGGGGGAGGGGAAGAAGGGGTTGATGGGGCTGCGCGAGGTGGGTAGCGCCGAGAGGGCGATCGTGTCCACTGCAGGAGCGGGAGGAGGAGGAGGAGCGAGTGATTGGGTTCAGGCGCAGGGAAGGAAAGTGGCCGAGTTGAGGAAAGCAAAGAGGGATCTCGTACTCGTGCGTCTCTCCTTTCCCCCTTCTTCTCCGCTAGGGTAAGCAACTGAGGCTGGGAAAATGTGGATGACAGGTCACGAGTACGATTGTACTCATTTGTACGCTGTTGATTGCGGATGTGGTTTGGTTGATAGTGGGACTGGTGAGAGGCGGTTTGAGGCGCGGAGGTGGAGGGTGGAAGCAGTGCGCACTCTTCCCTCTCGCTCATGTCCATCGCGCGAGACCGCAACGAACTGACGAGTCCCGCCCGCAGAACCGAACTCTCCGCCACGCTCGACAAATGGATTCTCTTCACCGCAACCCTCTGCGCCTGCATCTACCTCAACTACAACGCCCTCTCGCTCAACCGCGCGTCTCGCGTTCCTGGTGATACCGGGCTATCGAGGCGCGACGGCCTGGAGGTGGTGAGTTTGCCGGTGCTCCGGTCGTCGGAGGAGGATGGTGAGGCGCTTAAGCACGAGGGATCGAACGAGTCTTCCTCCTTCCCCGACTCGCTTCCTCACCTCGACGACCCCCCTCCTCTGCCTCGTCTCCGCCCACAAATCTCCTCTACCCGCCTCGGAACCCCCCGCTCAAGTTGGTTCGTCCTACCCACCACTCGGCGCTCGGGACCCCAGCCTGTGGCATTCGGGGAGGTGAGGATCACGGTTGAGACGGAGGAAGTTGCGGATGGGGTGAGTCTTGAGTGAGGAGGGGGGCAAGGAGAGTTAGGGAGGGCTCGTTCTGGAGGATGGAGGGGCGTGTGTGTCTTATTGGTTGTTGTGGTTTTTCTATCCTGCATCTTCTGAAGCGATTTGCGCTCGTTTGTAGTCGTTTCGAGCGAGGAAGGGAAGACGAGCAAGAGAAGCAAGACAGCAACGCGTTCCAGGGGTTCTACGGAGCTGCCAGTCGCTTACGAGCTTCTCTATAGGGCCATTGACATGCTCCATACGGCCTACGAAGGAGATTGTCGAGTCCACAACCCTCATCCCAACCTTCAACACCCCTTGTTCTTCGTCGCATCGCTCTCAACCCGCTTAAAGCCTCGAAAGCTATGGCTGACACTGCCACCGAGCCGACTATGCTATCTGAGCACTCGCCCGCAGCGCTAGTCGACACCCACGCGCCCGCCGACTCGTCCAACACGCGCGAAGTCGAGGCGGAGGTCCCGGCGGCTGGCAGCGAGGGGACAGCTGCTGGTGGAGCCCAGGATGCTGAGGAAGAGGTCAAGGAGCTTCCGGTCGAGCAGGAGGCGCAGCAGGAGCTGGGAGAAGGTGGGTACCCTCGAATTCTCATCGCTCAACTTGGTGAGGAGGGCGAGTGGGCGTGGTCAGCGGCGCTGGACAGGCTGCGAGGCGTGGCTTGAGATATTCTGGGCATGCTTGCTCCCAGCTTCGGCCCGAATTGACCTCTTCCACCCCGTTGCAGGGTCCGCTCCTCCTCCCGCAGCCGACTCCACGCCTGTTCCCGAAACCAACGGCGCCGCTGAACCCGAGTCCCTCGCTCCTCCCGTGCCCGAAGTCGCTCCCGCCGCGTCGAACCCGCCAACCAAGCCCGGTACCGCGACGAAGCGGCCCTCGACTCTCCCGCCTTCCTCTGCTCCCAGCGCCCGACCGCGCCCTGGCGCACCTCCTACGGCCGCTCCTGCGACAGCGACGACTCGTCGACCGCTAGGTGCCGCGACGGGCACAGCGGGAAGGCCGTCGACTGTCGGATCGAGCGCGACAATTGGCGGCGTGAGGCGAACGGCGGCTCCTGGCGCGCCGGCTGCTGCGGGATCAACTACCAACGGAATTCGTCGCGCTCCTCCCTCGACTGGAGCGCCGGCACCTGGCGCAGGGCACGCTCGCCGTCCTTCGACCCTCTCTTCCGCCTCGACCTCCTCCACGACCAGGCCTCCCCCTTCATCCACCGGCTCGACGACCGCGAGTCGCGCCCCTCTCCGCTCGTCTATCAGCTCGACTCGCGAGCGACCAGCTGGCGGGATCGTCTCGCCCGCCAAGCCGCCTCTTTCGTCTGCCGCCGCACGCTCGGCGACTACGGCTGGAGCCGGAGTCCGCAGGCCTCTCGCTTCCTCCACGACTCCAAGTGCGACTACCGCCCGCGCCCGTCCTTCGACGACTACTGCGACCGCCCGCCCTGGCTCGTCCCTCTCAACTCGTTCGTCTGCCTCGACCGGCGTTGTTGGGCGTCCCGCAGCATCGGGGGCCGCAGCGCTGAAGGAGAAGGATGAGCGGATCAAAGAGCTGGAGAAGCAGGTTGAGGATCTCAAGGCGGAGAAGGAGAGAGTTGAGAAGGAGCGTGAGGACGAGGCGGGAAAGGTGCGTCTCGAACTATCGCATCGTTTGTCCGCTCATTCGACGATAAGTAACTGACCTCGAACGGATGGTTCTCGTAACAGAGGGACGCCGAGCTGCAGGAGCTGAAGAGTCGGGTCGAGGCGCTCGAGAAAGAGCTCGACGGGGTCAAGCGGGAAAGGGACGAGATCAAGTCGTGCGTCCGGCGCTGCCATAGTTCGAGCAGACAAGCTTCTTATGGCCAGCCAAAGCTTATTTTGCCGGTTGCATGCGGCCGCACAGGTCACACGTCGCAAGCGCCGAACTCGACACACTCCGCTCATCTCACGCCGACGAGCTCGACTCTCTTCGTACCTCCCACGCTTCCGCCATCGACGAGCTCAAGTCCTCACACGTGCCCTCAACCGAGCTTGACACCCTGCGCGACTCGCACGCCGCCGAACTTGACTCGCTCCGACAAAGCCATGCCTCCGCCCTCAACGAGCTCAAGTTGTCGCAAGTCGACGCATCGGAGCTCGACACATTGCGGGCATCTCACGCAGAGCGGATCGCCGAGCTCGAGGCCAAGCACCGCGAGGAGGTCGAGCAGCTTCGGGCAGAGCTCGAGGCGTTGCGGTCGTCGCAAGCCGGGGAAGCCGACTTGCTCCGATCGTCGCACGCCGAAGAGCTTGAGAGTCTCAAATCGTCGCACGCCGCCGCGATGGAGGACCTGTCGAGCAAGCATGCGAAGGAGGTCGAGGAGATCAAGGCGTCGCACGTTCCCGCATCTGAGCTCGACTCGGTCCGCTCTTCGCACGCCGAGGACCTGGAGTCTCTGCGCTCCTCTCACGCCGACGAGATTGGCAAGCTCCGCACCATGCACGCCCAAAAACTTGACTCGCTCCGGCTCTCGCACGTCCCGTCTTCTGAGCTCGACGACCTGCGGGCCTCCCACGCCTCCGAACTCGAGTCGACTCGTGCGACCGAGGCGCAGACGTGGCAGGAGAAGCTCGCTGCGCTCCAGAAGGACCACGAGGGCGAGCTCGAGCGTGTCAAGGCTCAGGCGAGCAGCGGCGATGAGGGCAAGGCTCAGGAGGTCGAGGCGCTGAGGAGTGAGCTCGAGGCTTTGCGAGAAGAGAAGGAGGCGTGGGCGAAGGAGCAGGAGGAGCTGAAGAGTCGAGTCAAGGTGCGCAGCGTCAATTCGCCCTGCTTCCGACATTCCTGACTTTCTTCTCCTCCCAGTCGCTCTCCGACGAGCACGACTTTGCTCTCTCGACCCTCCGCGACGAGCACGCCTCGGCCCTCTCATCGACTCGCGAGGAGCTTCTCTCGACGCACTCGTCTGACTTGGCACAGCTCCGCTCGGCCTCCGACGCTTCGCTCGCTCAACTCCGCTCGTCTCACGCCGACGAGCTCGCCTCCCTCCGTCAGCAGCTCGCGGATGCCGAGTCCAGCGCCGAGCAGAAGCGAGTTGCCGGAGACAACAGCCTGAAGGTCGAGCTCGATGCGACCAGGGCTGACCTCGACAAGGCGAAGAAGGCGATCGCCGAGCTCGAGGAGACCGTGCGGTCGTCGAACGACAAGCTCGAGCAGGCGCAGCACGCCCTGAGCCAGGCTGAGAAGCAGGCTGCCGCCGCTGCTTCTACTCCGGCCAGCGCCGACTCGGAGAAGCTCGCCGCTCTCGAAGCCCGCCTCGCCGATGCGCAGAAGGAGCTCGAAGATGCGCACTTCGCCCTCCAGTCGACGCAGGAGTCGACCGCCGCGCAGCTCACCGAGCTCGAAACAATGCACGAGCGCGAGCTGGCCTCGAAGGAGGAGGACCACGTCAACTTGCTTAAGCGCCGGACGGACGACCACACCACGGCTCTTGTCGAGTTGCAAAACAAGCTGCTCGCCGTCGAGGAAGACCGCGAGCACCTCAGGCAGGAGCTCGTCGATGCCCAGCAAAAGGCGCTCAAGTCGAGCCAGTCGCTCGCCGGCGCCGTCACCGATGTCGACATCAAGGCTCTGCATGCAGCACACGAAGCCAAGCTCGGCGAGGTCGAGAGGGAGTACACGGCCAAGATTGAGGAGCTGAACCAGGTGCGTAGAGGCGCCGTCTCGTCTTGTAAGCTTCGTTGCTGACGAGCGCGCCCTCCTCCCTACAGGCTGTCTCCCGACTTGAGCATGAGGTGCAGCTTTATCGAGACAGCGAGGAGTGATCGGCCGCTCCCACCTGCTCCTCCTCTCCCGCTTCACAGCGCATCTTTCGCACCTTCGCCTTTCAAACCGACCGCAGCTCGCACTTCGGCGCCTCTGCTACCCTTTAATCGCCCTTCGTCCTTCCCGGTCTCTCAGTCAATCTCCTGCAGCCTTCCATACCACCTGCAAGCAACCCGTCGTCTCTCGTTACTCTAACGCGCTTCACGAGAGTGAACGATACGAATGCGTGCGGGAACAGAACATGAATACTTTTCCTACAACAGCCTAACCGTGCGAGAGTTACTGAACGTGATAAGGATATAACCTCCCCGTCATCGACCGGACTCGCCTCGCTCCGCCTTGTCCTGATCGTTATACCACAGAGCGCACGTGTCGCCGTCGCAAACCTGGTCCGTCTCGACCGTCACCATAATCGCTGAAGCCGTCGCGCTGCCTCCTGCTCCGTGCGCTGCGCCAACCCCTCTTCGTCGACCATTCGAGATCGAGTCGGAGCTGTTCTGGCGGAGGAAAGGCCAATGCGGCCGAGGAAGGCTGAAGCGGGTTGCAGACGGCTTCCGTTCGCCGACCACGTGACGGCGAGTTGTCGAGGACGGCGCGGACGAGGCGGACGTCGTCGGCGACTGATCCTTCGAGGTAGGACCGAAAGCGGACGGGCTAGGCGTCCTGGGCGAGAGAGGCGGATAGTCGACTGGCGGAGGTGCGGGTCGTTCGGCGCTTCCCGCCTCGATAAAATGGCTGATGTAGCTGACGCGCTGCTCGGTCGTCGCCGCCATGGCCGGCCTCGTTTCTCCCGCTCCGCCTGCGCCAAACGTGGTAGCGCCGACTCCGTTCGTCGTGCCGTTGGGAAGGTCGTCCGCGAGCCACTCTCGCCCGTTCATCCAGGCGTTGTAATTGAGAAAACCGACGCCGAAGCAGACGAACACGGAGTAGATCCACTGGCAGATCATGGCGGACCCCTCCGTGACGCTCCACGACCCTTCGTAGAGTCTGTCCGTCCCGGCAAGCCAGGCGACCCAGATGCAGTAGCCGAAGAGCGAGAGGGTGATGAACATGATGCAGACGGTGACCTGTCGAGCACGCAGTGTCAGCAGGCGCGAAGCAAGCGTGAAGAAGGGGGCGCACAGCAAACAGATCCCGGGTAGCCTTCTGCAGCGCGAGAACCTTGCGAGCCTGAGACCTCGCGGCCGTTCCTCCCTTCGTGTTGCCGTGTCGCGCCATCAGCTTGACGTCGTTCGTCGTGAGCGACGGCTTGCGCTTGCTCGAGTCGTCCGAGGCGACCCCAACGGACAACTTGCGCTTGTTCTCGTCCATCGTCCGGGTGATGACGCTCGTCAACGGGATCGAAACCATCCTGTGAAAGCCCGAGTGCGTGTCGAAGTCGGATGGACGGCGAACGGGGTCGGAGAAGGCAAAGTCTTCGGCCAGGACGTTTTGCGAAACGGCCGCCTGCGTGCCTTGGTGTTGCGTGTCCTGGAGCGCAAGGAGAGAGACGCTATCCTTGATTTGTGAGCGAAGCTTTCGCGCAAGGGCTAGTCCGCCGATGTTGACCTGAAGAGGAACCGTTATAAGCGAACGGAAAAGCGAGTCAAACAACGGCACAACTGACCATCAGGCATGCCAGCGGCAGTGTCGCAATCAAGGCGTACTGGACGCAGTTCGGCCTGTAGTAGCGAACATGATCGAGTCAATGAACGGCTGAACGCTGGCGAGGAGGCATGCGCGCAAGACGTACGTAAGTAACCGCTTGGCCGCGCGGTCGACAGGCTGAAAGAGCGTCTGGATCGGCAGGAGGTCGATAATCGTAGGCGTCGCGCCAGCGAGACGGCGGTTCAACGCGGCGAGGGCTTCGTGCAGCGCGTAGTAGCGGTTGAGAAGTTGCTCCGTCAGGACGGTGGTATACGCCGCAAGAGCCTGTGGGGGGGGCGCGAATCAGCTCGATATCGCGGAGATGAACGAGATGCTAAAGGTGCGACTCACGATATGCAGGAGGATGAGGCAGGCTCCGCCGCCGATGAGAAGGCCGTTCGCGAGCCAGGCGGGGAGGAGGTGCGAGTCGTTCGACTCTGTTGTCAGGAGGAACGCCTGCATAGGATGAGTATAAGCGGACTGTCTCGCCATCGCCACGAGTCGATGGGAAGCCTGACCTGCAAGCCGCTCCAGGAGATGCACCAGCCGCCCTGCGAAGATGCGAAGATTGTGCTCAGGAGGCCGCCCGGCGGGTTTGGGACGAAGAACTGGAGCTCACGATGAACAAGGCAAGCCCGTTGTACGATCGAACGCCGGCCCAACCGTCCTGATGCCGTCCGAGATAGTACACGCGCCAGAACATACCCGTCGCGAACAGCTCGTAGAAGCCGTACGAGATGACGACGGCAATCCATGTTGGTCGCGGACTGTTGCGAGGACGCAGGCGGTCAGCGCATGTCGAGGCAGAAGGAAGGGGAGGAGTGCAACGCACTTCAGTACGAGGAATCGCCCACTCGGCCGCTCGACAAACCGCGCCAGCCACAGACTCCTCCACTTGGGCGTCTCCTTACTGTGCTTGACATGCAGGTAGAGGTAGTTGAGCGACAGGAGGATGTATCTGCGAATGGCATTGCCCATCTTAAGGATGTCGGGTTTGCCTCAGTGGCAGAGGAAAGCACGCACGCTCCAGTCAAAGCCCACAGGATGCCCATCCTCGCCGTCAACCCTGGCGAAGGCGTCGGGTAGAACTTGGAGTCCAGCAAGGCTAGCATGGCCGGCACCGTGCTGTTGTCCAGCGTCTTGAAGGGTAGCGCGGACATGGTCGCCTGACAGTCGGTCCTCCCCGCCTCGCAGCGAGTCCTCACGAGTTTGAGGTAGGCGTGTCCGTCGGCGAGTCTGCGCGCGGGAAAGCGGCAATGGGGACGGTGGGAGGACGAAGTGGTCGAAGTGGTCGGGTGCGGTGGTCGAGCGACTTCTGGCGATTCGTGCGTCGCTAGCGAGCGAGTGCAAGCCTGTTGAACGTCGAGTGCGTGTCGTGAGGGCAGTCTCGCCGACCTGGCAGCCACCCAGATTGCTCGAGGAGTCTGGCTGCGCGCAACGAGATGCAGGCGGCGCGGAGGCCGGGGTCGAGTCGCCGGTTCGAGACTTTCAGGCACAGGACGAGGGCGGAACCCTTCGTCGATTGGCTGTGCGCCCGGCTGCCGTCTGCCGTCCTGCTCGTTCTGCTCGCTCGTGTGAGCAGCCAGAAATGGACGACGGCCGACCATGACGAGGTTGAACGACCAATGCAGCGAATGCGAAATGTACAGGGCGCGACAACAGCGACGAAGGTTCAAGGGGGGCGCCAGGCCGGGCGCGCAAGTTCTATGCGTAGTCGAGAGGTAGGGGCTTGCACCACGGGAACGGCTGTACAAGGAAGGCGTCAGTGACCACAAGAAACAAGAGAAAGAAGAGCGAAGGAGGGCGGGAAGATCCGCCTGTAAACGAGAAGGTTGTTCTCGCGACGCACGAGGTGATCCATGTGGTATCCTTCGCAGGCGGGGACCTTTTTGAACTCGTCCTCGACGCCCTCGATCTCACCCAAGTCCCATTCTGCCGCCTCGCTCGCCTCCCACCCGTCCAGACGGACAATCCGTCCTTGCGCGCCGTCCTCCTCCTTCAGCTCGATCAGACGGGCGACGAGGGATGTGGGCGAGTCAAAGTCGGCGAGGGAGAGTGTCCGAGTGTTAGACTGCCAGGAAGAGAGAGTGTTGGAAGGGAGGTAGCGGGCTGCGTGCTCAAAGAAGCGGGCTTCGAGAAGGTCGAGGTCGAGCTCCTGCGAAGACGACGACATCAGCACGCGCATCCTCACATGCTCCTGTAGAGTACTCAAGGTGGGACAGAGGAAAGCGTAACGCACCATCGCCGCCTCGACACTCACAACCCTCGTCCACTCCCTCGTCCACTTCCCCTCCTCGTCCCCGTTCTCCCACTCAACCGTCACGTTCCGCGGCACCTGCAACGCCATCCCCGTCTTGCGCGCGAGGACGTGCACGAGTCGCGCGTATTTCATGATCGACTGGATGGAGGCGGAAATGGGGGAGGGAGAGAGGATGGGTCGGGGGTGGGTGTAAAATGAGTCGATGTTGGTCGCCCAGCCGCGTTCCTCTGCTCCCAGCACGACGAACTGTGTCAGTTCCGCGATCGCAGGACATGTCCGCGAGAGAACGGCGAGCGCACTCGGATAGAACTGTCGATTCGCTGTTCCAGGTGTGTACGAGAGTCAGCTCGCGAGGTCCGGACACTCGGACCATACTCCGCCCTGTAGAAGGCGAGGCGACGAGGAAAAGCGCAGCGAGCGAGACTCACGGAAGAAGAACGCTGTCAAGTGGTTCATGACCGGCTCAGGCGCGTTCGGGTCGGGTTTGCTGCAAGTCCAGTCGAGTGTCAGTGTCTCGATCCATCGTCAAACAAAGCAGGAGAAGAGCGGATCGCCGGGAGGGGAGGGGAGAAGACGCACTACCACTCGAGCATGACCGGGTGTGTCGCTTGGAACTGCATTTCACGGCATCCAAGTCAGGTCAGCACTTCGTCTGGTGCGTGGGGAGACGAGACGGAGGGGAAGACGAAAGCACTGGCTTCTGGGCGAGGCAGGATGAGGAGGAAGGGACGACGGAACGCACCTTATCCAGCGGCAACATGTTGATCCTCGTACCCAACGGCTCAACAATCCACCAATGCTCGTCTCCCTTCTCGCCGCGCCATTCCTTCCCTCCTTGGTTGATGATCGTGTTCGAGAGGAGGAGTTGCTGCGCGGCGGAAGATCGGCTCGTCATTCTCAAGATGAAGACGGCGAGACGAGAAGGACGCACATCCCACTCGTTGCGAGCGACGTAAGCGTCGAAGGCGGCTTGGAAGAGCTTGATGGTCGCCTCGCTCGGTCGAGCAAAGATCCAGCCGAAATTGACGATGTACCCGACGCTGCGCGACATCCTGGGTCAGCGACAGCGATGAAGCAGGGGAAGTACGGCGCACTCTTCGGTGAACTGGAGGTCCCAATTTGGCGAGGAGAGAGGAAGCATGTGAGGGAAGGGGTTGGTCGTGAGGAAGGTGTCGCCCTATACGAGCCAAGTCGCGTCAGTCGAGGATGCATGGGTAGAGACAGGCGTAGGGGAGCGAAGTGAGCCGCAACGCACCTCGAAGAAAAGCGAGGGAAAGCCGCTTTGCGCCATCTCGAGCATCGCCTTGAACTTGAGGAACGCCATGAAGTGCCCTCGCTCCGCGCCTCGCTTCTCCCGCATCCTCCCGCTCGTCTCGGGCGGCAAGTCGATGTGCTCCCGCAAGTAGCCTCCGTACGCCCTCAAGCCGCCCTGCTCGCACTCGTCCAGACACTCTGCGTCGAGGCAAAGAACGACGACTGCATCCTCCATTCCCAGTTCTGCGCGCTTCAGGTCCCAGTTCCGAGCCTGAGGAACGTAGGAACCTGTCGCCATCGTCCACATGACAACCGTCTCTCCCTCCTTGCCCTTGTTCCGGCCGAAATGCGAGTCGAGGTAGGCAGCGAGCGAGACTTTCGGGTCGCACTGGACTCGTGGCGGTTTCCGAAACGGCAGAGACCATCGTGACGGCGAAGAGAGGACATGGCGAGACGTGGGGTGGGCGAGGGCGGCTACGAGGATGGCGAGGAGGAAGAGGACGGCGACGGCGACTCCCACGACAAGCGGTCGTCTCGCCTGGTCCGCCCAGCTGTCCCTGAGTCTATGTATCCTGCCTTTGTGCCCGTCCAGCCCCTCCAGCCAGTCGTCGTCGTCTCCCTCGCTCCCAAAGACCGTCGCGTCCTCGTCGTCCTCCTGCTCGTCGTCGCTCGCTGGCAGGCTGATTCCGACGTGTGGCGACTTGGTCTCGAGCAGCTGGTACGCCTCCTTGTCTGGCCGAGGAGCTGGGCGGGACATGGCGGTTGCAGAACGAGGGACAGCTCCTCGCTCGCTTCCCAGAACAACGGCGAGCGCGTCTGGGGCGGTGCAAACGCGTCGGCTAAGTCTAGAACTGCGGCTAATCAGGAGAATGAATAAGGGGGAATAGCGAAACGGGGAAGAGGAGGAGGTTCGGCGGCATGCACGCACCCTCACACCCTTGCTCTCGCTTGGACTGTTTCTGGCTGCTGTAGCTGTGGTCACTCCACCGCACTGCTATACACGACGCTAGCTCTGCCCGCTCGAAGCGACCGCGACGCGAGCGATCTCCTCTACCTCATCAGCCAACTCCGAAGCGGCGCTGTCGACACGCGAAAAGCGTGAGGGCGACGTAGATACGGTCAGAAGGACAGTCTCACGGGGCCAGGAGCTCTGGGATCGCGCGCAGAGTGAGGGGAAAGGCAGGAGGACATGGCTTCTCCCGGAGGGACCCCCTCGACATACAACTTCTCCGCGCCGCCTTCTAGCCAGACTGCTGCGTCGACGACGCCAGCTACCGCCCAGTCGAGTCCTCCCGCAGCCGAAACGAAGTCCCGCCTCCCACCGCCCATCGTCACCGACTTTGCCTACCAACAGCCAGGCCCGTCAATCGCCTCTCCTGCCCCGCTCTCCCCGTCGTCCAGCAAGCATGCACGGGAAGTTAAAGGGGACGTGCGGAACGGAGAAGTTGCGGGATTGAAGGTGGAGAAGCGGGCGAGTTTGGCGCCGTCAGAATGTGCGTACCTGCTGTCCTGGCGAGGTGTTGTACTCGCTTGCGAAGCTAACTCTTTCCCGCAGACTCTTCACGGGCAACTTCCCCAGCGCCGAAACCGCATCACCACTTCAAGCACCACGAGCCTGCTCCACGCCGTTTCCTCCGCCGACTACACTCGCTCGTCCACCCGAACCACTCTTCCACGCCCTTGCACGCGCACCAACGCAAAGACTCGCGCGCTTCATCCGTCTTCTCCACACCCGCCTCATCCGCACCTTCCTCGCGCCCTCGCTCCCGCACGCGCACTTCCTCCCTCCCCCGCCCGCTCGCTCGAACAGACACATCCGCACAACGACCCGCGCTCAAGATCCGCATCTGCACGTTCAATATGGCCTCGTCCCTTCCCGAGCCCGACGGCGACTTGAGCGACTTCTTGGGCTCGCTGGAAGGAGTCGGGTGGGGACAGGCGTGGGGGGAGGCGAGACGGTCGAGGAAGAGGAGGAGGCAGAGTAGTGGGAGCTCTAAGGTTGGCTCGCTCTTGAGCGGGAAGAGCGCGGGTGGAGCGGCGGGAAACGAGGAGGAGGGGAAGGTGCCGAAGTTTCCGTTGACGAAGGGGCACCCGTACCACGTCGTCGTCGTGTGCGGTCAGGAGTGTGCGCACGAGTTTCCTGTCCCTCCTGCACGGCCTCGCGACTGACTTGCTTGAACCTACAGGTCCAACGGCATCCGGCGTTCTAGCGGGTCGGGTACGGACGCTGGACGGGAAAGGCTGGACGAGCATGTTGGAGAAATACCTCTGCGGCGGCTGCTCGCACGACTCGGACTCCGAGTCATCATCTTCGGACGAAGCGGAGGTAGCTTCTCCAGCACGAAGCGGTATAGCTGGCGAAGAGGAGGTGGAAGAAGTGCTCGACCCGACTAGCCGGCCTACGACCGACAACTCCGCACCTTCGACCGACACCGATGATCCATCGCGCTCGACATCCGCCGACACCGCTTCCCTTACTTCTTCCCATCTCGCTCCCTCTCGATCGTCAAACTCGTCAAATCGGAAGCCGCGCGGCCCTTACGTCCTCGTCGAGAAGGAGAGACTGATGGGTATCTATTGCGCGGTATTTGTGGCGCGATGCTGCGAGGATCTTATTGAGGGCGTCAGTAAGGGGAGAGTCACGGCCGGGTTGATAGGAGGGCGGCTCGGTAACAAGGGCGGTGCGTCCGCTTCTCCTTTGCTCGCTCTACATATGCTGACGAAGACTGTTGACAGGCGTCGGCATCTCCCTCAACTTCGCCTCGACCCGCCTCCTCTTCGTCTCGGCACACCTCGCAGCGCACGCCTCCGGCTTCGAGATCCGGAAGGCAAACGCGCAGAAGATCCTCGAGGAGCTCGGCGGGCAGATTGACGACTTCTGGCGCGATGAGGGGCGGGTGGGTCCGAAGCCGAAGCGGTTGGTCGACAGATTCGACCAGACGTTCTTCATGGGCGACCTCAAGTGCGTGTTTCTCCTTGCACTGAGTCCGAGCGATGCTCACAGCAATGCCTGCAGCTTCCGCCTCAACATCTCGCGACTGCACGCCGACTGGCTTGTGCGCGGCAAGGACTACGAGACCGCGCTCCGCTTCGACCAGCTCCGCTCCGTCATGGACGAGCCCGACTCTGTCTTTCGCGGCTTTCACGAAGCGCCGATCAAGTTTGGTCCGACTTATAAGTTCGACTTGCCGAAGAAAGTCGCCAAGAAGCGCTCGATGCTGTTGCGAGGCAAGTCGGTAGCTAAGAAGCTCGCTGCGAGCGAGCAGACCAAGTCGAACTCGCTTCCTCCGCACCTCGACCCGCCTGTCGCGAACGGCGGGGGCGGC